TCCCAACTGGTCCAGCCACAGGGCTCAGATTCTTCCTTAGTCATGGTTAAAGGTCCACAGAGTTTAATATATTCAGCGTTATACTTGCGTTTGGCCATGTAGTCGAGCTAGTTTGCTGTCCATTCTCTCACTCATTCCACAGCAAGTAATGGCACTTCAAAGAGTGCATTTTACAAACTTGACACGGTTCTGAGTCACTTGTGGTCCATTCAGAATGGAACCACGACCCACCAGTTGGGAACCACTGGCTTAAACCATCAGGTCCGTTTGTTTTCCCATTTTCATCCACTTATCCAAAGTCGGGTTGTGGGGGCAGCAGGTCGAGCAAAGCACCCCAGACGTTGCTCTCCCCAACAACGCTTTACAGCTCCCCTTCGCCAGACAAGATATGTAATCCCTCCAATGTGTTCTGGGTCTGCCCCAGGACCTACCAATGGGACGTGCCCTACCATCCTACCAATGGGACGTGCCCGAAACACCTCCAGCAGGAGGCACCCGGAAGGCATCCTGATCACTTGCCCAAACCACCTCAACTGGCCCCTTTCGACATGAAGGAGCAACGGCTCTACTGTTCCTCTACGCTCCCTCCGGATGTCCGAGCTCCTCACCCTAACTCGAAGGCTGAGCCGAGCCATCCCATGGAGGAAACTCATTTCAGCCACTTGTATTCGTGATCTCATTCTTTTGGTCACTACCGACGTCGATGGACGCAGAGGAGTAGACCTAGACCTATCGCCCTAGATATGATATGCACCAATACACCAAACCAAATTCCTCCTATGTGAAACCCAATAAACTGCATTCTGATTCTGACATGACCTTATGCAGTCGGCTGGTGAAATACTTGATAACAACCACTGTACTGGGAATCTGAGAAACGAATTGGAGCTCAAAGTTCCTGCATTGTCTTGTTCAGGAATGAATGTTGAAATGAATCACTTCGACTTCTGATAAGTCACAGCAACCTGTACTATGCAGTTTCGGGCAGGTTGTTCGAAGTTATCAGACATTGTGGACAGAGGACAGATGGGGGGGGTGGAAGAGATGGTTGTCTCATGCAGTCAAAACAACTTGACGCTTGAAGCTGGAAAAGCCCTCCTCTTTGATCAACATCTACGATGGCTTATCAGCACATGTACGTCTGAATTTTCCACTAAATTGTGTTCTGTAATAACTTACAATAAATACCAAATTCCATGGTAATTGATGTAGCTGATGAGATATTTCAGGCTGGAAAGAGATCACAAGAGCCAACAGATACTCATAGTTAAACAGTAAATAATGTTAAAAATGTCTTGGGAACTGTATGATTCCCCAAGATCTAAAACAGACATATGATTAGCTGAACATTTCAGTCTCTTCCAAGAAGGGCCAATTTTCTTTTCCATTGCATATTTTCTTTTTCCTTCTATAGAAATATCTGGCTGGAAGCAGCCACCCGCCATTGCAAAACACAGCTGGGTGTGTCATCTAGCCAAGAGAGAAAAGATCATTTGGATGCAACATGGCCTCCATGTGACAACAAGAACCAGGAGGTGCAAAGCTATCACTGACGTCTCTCGCCTCCCAGGCACCGCCTTTTCCAATCAGTCCCATGTAGTAGATTTCAAAACGTCAGCTCATTCCCTAGAATCTCTGCAACAAACAATAAATTTTACAGAAAACTCGTTAAAAAGGACTTGTCACGCTTTCATTCATGACTCACCCTCATTCTCTTTGAGCCAGCACATGATGATAAAATTAACAATGATTGCCACAGACTGCCATTCAGCTCTAGACCCACTAGAAATGTAATGTCATGATTAATTTAATTCAGCCCCTTTGCCAGTTTGGAATGAGCAAACAATGTGCTGCGTCAAGCTCACTCTGCAATTAGGAGACAGATTACTAGTATGAAAAACTACACTCAGTGTTGGAAAGTAACTAAGTATTCAAGTACTTTACTTTCATACAAACTTTAAATAGTTGTACTTAACTTGATTATTACAGTTTTCTGCTACTTAACACTTCTACTCCACTACATTTCAGAGGGTAATATTGTCATTCCCACTACATTTGTCTGACAGTTTTAGTTACTTTTCAGAATAATAATACAAAATATATTCAACAAATTAACTATGAATCAATATTTATAATCCAATAATATAATGTATGTTATTCTGAAATTGGCCATTCTGCATTATCAGCACTTTTCGTTCTTTAAGTATATTTCGATGCAAATACTTATGTACTCAAGTATATTTTTCAATGCAAAACTTGCAAAACTGCAATTTTTTAAATTTATTTTTATTTATTTAACCCATATTTAATCAGGTTATCCCCATTGAGATCAACAATCTCTTTTACATAGGAGAATTGGCCAAGTCAGCAGCATTTCAAAAAACGTTATAGCCAAACAACAACACAATAAAGATCATAAAAGATATACAGTAACATGTAGAAATATTGTCTCAGTTCACGTAGTTTGAACTCTTTTTGAAGGTTATTCCAAGAAAGAGGAGCAGAGTCAAGTCAAGTCCATTTTAATTTATATCACACATTTCATATGACAAGCGTAAACTCAATGTGCTTAAGATACATCATACATGACAAACATAAAATATCATATAAGATAATAGAGTGCTACACATATAAAAACAATCAGGACATGATAAAAAACAAAATTAAAATGTATTATTATCATTATTCTTAAAAAAGGGTAGATAATGACAATGATAATACTAATTCCTAAAACAAAAAATACACTTAAAAATACGACTAAAAGCTTGTGGAAAAAAGAGACGTTTTCAGTTTGCTTTTATGTTGTTTATGTTTATGTGTAAGAGAATTCCAGCGAGCACATAAAAGCTGCCATTCCCAGCTCAGTCCGTGCACTGGGAGCAGACAACAAAACTAAGTCTTGAGATCTCAGACTATAGCTGCAGTCAGATCTCTGTTCAATCAAAGCACAAATGTATGAAGGGAGATTACCCGCTATGGCAGTATGGTATTGCTATTTTTACTAAAGTACAAGATGTAAAGACTTCACCCACCACTGTTTAGGCTACAGCTAATTTTATTCTGAAGTTAAGTAGGTTTTGGATTCTTTCACTTTCAGTCTTAATCTGCAAACATATGGAGTCAAGTCACTTGAATTTGACGTAAATCAGGTTTGAGTCACAACTTTGTGACTTTAGATTTGACTTACAAATCAGTACAGCAGCAAAAAAGACTTGCAACTCAACAACACTAATGACTCCTAACTTCACATGAACTCAAGTCTTGTGACTTGAAAATACCTGATAATTTCCAACATGTTCAAAGACTAAAAAGTACACTATTTAGACTTTAGTGTGCTGCAAATCAGTTAATTTCCCTTTATTTCTTAAATCGACTCTTTTAATTTCATTTACACATAAAACATGCAACAACATACAATAACACCCTAAGGGAAAAATAGAAAATGTCTTTCAAATTTGGGAAGAGAAAGTTATAGACATTATATGGACAGAAACATACAAAATTAAATTCTGTTGTGGTGCTGGTTAACAGTGCTATGTGTGATGAAAGTGTCATGTCAGCATTACTTTTTCATGATTGAGTTCAGTCAAACTTATTATAACAAACATGTTTTAACAAATATTAAAAAGCATTCACAGTGTTAGTAAATGTAATATGTTATTACTTTGTTGTTGAAATACATTTAGTGAAGAACGCATTTGACTTGTTTAGGACTTGAAATTCAAAGTTTAGGAGTACAAAAACTTACTAGTGACTTTGTCCCACTTCTATTAATCTTTAGCATGTACATGTATAACTAATTCATGCATAGAACTGAACACACAATATTCATACATCATTCTGAACACCAAATTCTCTCCCCAAAAATTTAATGCAGAAACAATAATACATAAATCTATACTCTATTCCCTGCTGTACAGTTAAAGTGGCCATACATTTAAATCTGTCTACAGTGTTTATTCATCTCCCAGGGATTTATTGTTTCAGCCCTTTTCTTGCGAACATGTTATTAAATAACTTTGTCTTCATGTGAACATGAAAAGTTGATTTGTACATGCAAGTGCATACTCTCACAACCTCTCTTAACTGCGGTTTGCTTTACGTTGTTGGTTTTGCTCCTCCAGAAATTCCTTGTAAATGCACAACACACTTAATAATAAACAGACTCAAATTTAAATGAAACCATTTATTGCAAGGCAAAGCAGATGTCAACAGGATGTTTACTGGTGTAGCTTGAGTAAGTCATTTGAGTTCTGAGGTTGGGAAATAAGGAGGCTCCTGCCCGGGTAGAGTTCCCCTCATCAGTACAATGCGGGCATTTGGAAGAAGAAAGAACTCAGCCTCTTTGCCAGCTCTACCCCATAAAAGGAGGAGAGCGGAGAGAGCTTTTATCGTTCCCCTGCAGCCAGCTTGTCACAACGGGGACCACAGAAGATGTGGAGGGGGTCTATTATAAATACACATGCATGCATTCTTCACCCCCCACTCTGACAGGCACACATAAACACACTGAAGTGACCTTATGTCCTGTTGGTTTCCACGAGAACACCTGCAGAGTATGCAGGAAATTTTAAAGGTAATCAAAAACAGGCTGCTGCACCTACGGATTGTTATGCAACCACATACTGCAACAAGCACAAGCCTGCCTCCTGCTACTGCCCAGCAAATTAATATGCTGAGCAACACCCGGGCACATGCTGGTGCCCCCCCCCCCCCCCCCCCCCCCCCCCCCCCCCCCCCCCCCCCCCCCCCCCCCCCCCCCCCCCCNCACACACACACACACACACACACACACACACACATTCACTGTGCCGACACGCATTCTCTCAAAAATTCCAAACAAAGAAATATAAAAGAGCAACTGGTTGGAAGTTGGGAAAGGGAGGTTGCCGTGATGTGAAAAAAGACAGAGGAGCGAGGCAGAGCATGAAAGAGTACAGGGGGAGGGAGAGGCACCGAGGGGAGAAAATGAGGGGGTGTTGAGGAGGAGGGGAGAGTCTGCGAGAAACAGCTTAAGACAGTGTGAGAGCTGAGGGCTGTAGTGAGTATGCTGTGAGAGAAGACAGAGACAGAACAAGAGAGACAGAGTACAGAAGATTCTAAGTATCCACCACCATCAAGTAGGTACAGTAAACCATTTCTTACACTTTATTTCCAGTCACTACTATGACTGTTCTGATATGTGCTGACTACATGCAAAACGCTGGACTGGTTTGGTGTTTACTTTTAGAGTTTTAGTCATTTAAGTCACGAGAACAGATGCTCGAACAGTATTGCTGTGTCAAGTGAAAATCCATATGTGCTCCAGCTCTGGGTTCCCACAGAACTCTTGGCGCCAGGAGACAGTGGAAGTGCTGATTGGGTCACCCCAATAGTTGTATTTCTTTCTTCCAGCACTCAGCATTTATTTATCTAAGGCTGTTTACAGGATGGAAACTAGAACACCGCAAATGTTTGATTATACACAGATCCATTTCCAAGCTGTAAACTTTGGTCAAATGGCCTCTCAGTCAACAAGACAAAGAAGTTTGATATACGTCAGGCTCAGCAAACCTTTCTTGTCTTCTGTCACAAGGGGAAAATATCTTAAAGTCTCATATCTCTTATCCTTAGTACAACTGTGGATCCCTATTGCCTTGTTTATTTTTGTCTGCTATTGTAACCAAGTTCTGTATTTCCATTTCTGTGTTTTGACGCAGTTATTACGTCGACTACTATGACTTTAGCTTCTTGATTTCAGTTCCTTTATTCCTCCTCATCCACACTTTAGATTTCTTCTGAAGCGAATAAGGAAATTATGAGAAATTGAAGGTTTTATCTTAAAGGAGCAGTGTGTAGGATTGAGTGGCATCTAGCAGTGAGGAATGCAGATTACAAACAGCTGAACCTTCTCCAAGGTGCCAAGGATGCACTCCCCATTAAGATATCTTCAGTGCTCATTGTTTTGGAGGTTTTTAATCAGAAGCCATATTACCCACAGAGATCTCTTCCTCTCCAAAACAAACAGACCAGGTGATTAAAACTGGTAAAAACACTGAATTAAGCAGTTTCATATCAAAATTACATGTTTCTTCTAATCGTCTTATGTCAGCAGTTGTGTGTCAGGTTCAGTGGAGCCCGATAACTCATAGAGAGACTAACTCTGTTGAACGTAACTCATGATTCAGGCCCTTGAACAGATATTCTGATGTGTGTGTTGTCGACGAAGCAGTCAACGTGTTTTGCGGGCCACCAGCACCTGCTAATTTGTGCTCACTTTTGTTCTCTGATAGCAGAATTATTTGCAGAGGTCTCCTCCTCTCCAAAACAACTGGATTTGGTTATTAAAACTGGACAAAACACTGAATGAGGCAGTTTTGTGTTAAAAATCAGTGTTTCGTCTGATCTTCTAATGTAAGCAGCTGTGCGTCATGTTCAGTGGAGCCTAATAACTCATAGAGAGACAGGCTTTATCGAATGTAATTCATGATTCAGGCCCCTGAACACATATTCTGATGTGTGTATTGTCGATGAAGCAGTCGGCGTGTTTTTGGTCAAAATTAGAGCTGATAGTAAAATAGTAAAAGCTGATATCAAAGCTGAAAGAGTCAGACGGCGGTTTTTATGGAGAGCAGAATTACCCGCAGAGGTGTCCTTCTCTCCAAAACAAGTGGATCTGGTTATTTAAATTGGTAAAAACACTGAATGAGGCGGTTTCTATGCCGTTTGGCACGGAAGGGCTGCCAGCTAGAGTGGCCGACGCAACCACAAAAAGGGCCCTATCTGGAGCCAGTGTTTGGTGTGTCCGTTCTGGGCTATTGTAGAAACATAACAATCCAACATAGCAGACTCCTTGGATGTGGACTGCTCTTTATGTAGATATAAACATCATTCCAAGGTGACAAAAACATGAAGATTTTAATTTTCAGGTGATTATACACTAAAAAATTTACTTATAATATTATATTCCATTCCTGCCAATATATCCCCTTACATCCTGCACACTAAGCCTTTAAGATATGAGGTTAAAAGAAATTAATAGACCAGTGAAGATGTATTTCCTCTCTACGACTGCGTGGATACACATACTGTGCCAGTGATCCATCTATATCCTTTTTCTGTGTTTGCAATGACTAATATTGCAATGACTATATATCATTCTCATCTTTTGTCATTTCTGTCCATAGAGATGACGTCACTGTTGTGGAACCTTGCTGTGCTTCTCCTTTTCCTGGGAGCCTCGCCTCTCCTCCACTCCCACCTCACTACTCATGCCGCCTCTACTTCCCCTCCTGACACTCACCGGCAGATCAAATACGCTGCTATGGGCTCAGACGATGACTATGATGATGATGATGATGATGACTTCTTTCACACACGCATGCCCTCTACTGAGGTGGTGAACTCCGTGAAGAAAACTGTCCTTCTTCAGGCACCCCAGCTCTGCCAATTCAACCCCTGCTCAGAGAATCAAGAGCCCTGCGAGCAGATTTCAGAAAGGACTAGGTGCCTCTGTCCCGGGGTCAGCAGGGCCGATGAACCTCCTCATGCACCACGTATTCAAGGGCTGCTGCCAGTCAGTGAAGGGCGTGACAGAGGGAAGATAGAGGTCCAGTGGTGTGCTCCATCTTCTGTGGTGACCGCGTACAGAGTGGTGATAGACGGACATGAACCCCTGCAGTTTATGGACGTTTCACGACGAGGTTTGCTCGAATCTTTGGAAGCTGGGACCAAGGTGTGTGTGGCGGCGGTGAACAATGCAGGACAGAGCCCCCCATCAGAATTCTCCTGTAAACGCTATGACCCTCCTGAATCTTCTGACCATAAACTGCTGGCTGGGATTATCGGAGGAGGAGTCGCCCTCCTTCTGCTCCTCATCATCGGAGCTGTGATCATCTGGATGCATCAAATGCGTAAAAAGGCAAAAAGAGACTCTGCTGATGGACTTGGGAACCCTTCTTACAGCACAGAGGGGACTCTGTGATCCACATCAGCACAGACAATCCATCCCACTTACACTGAACAGGCCCCTGGACACAGGGGGCACAGCAACGGTGTAATCATGACCAAGAGGCAAACAGTTCTGGGGTGGCATTGTCATTGATTACAGAACTAAGAACTTGTTTACACTCCTGTTTAAAGGAATATGTAAACATACTTGGGGATAGAGGATTGGTGTTCACTGAATAACACTAACAAATGAGTCATTCTGTGATTTTGTGGTAGAACTACAGGTTTATTTGCTGGCAAATTTAACCTTTTTAGGTCTGTTGTAGTATTTTTTAATCTTATCATGTCCGAATTTCATTGTAAATATTAATTTCTAGGATATAGGTACTGACTTTTGTAATAAACTAAAATATATTTTTAATAAAAACATTTGTAAAATGGCTTGGTTGAGTGTTTGCTTTTATCTGAAAGGTTTTGCACAGGTCTACATTTTATAATCTACAGCAGGGTGACAATTTAATGAAAAAGAACAGCTTTAATGTCCCTTAGGATCAAATCTCTGCAGCTTCATTGGAGGGACAATTGAACCATTGGCCTAAAATGCCCCGTATATGTTGATATAGGTTGAGGTTCGGTGACTGCAGAGGCCAGACCATATGATTGTCATCATTTTAACCCTCATCACCAGTCATTGACCCTTTATAGGCTGTATGGGAACACTGGCATTCTCATTTATTCATATTTTAACTCTGTTATCCATCTGTACGTGGTTGTGGAAAGTATTAAAGTGGTTTATCTTTACTTCAGTAATTTCATTTTATGTTACCTTATACTTCTCAAGTTCATTTTAGAAGGGAATTTTTTTTAAATCTTACCACCAGTCTCAACAAACCTTTCTTGTCTTCTGTCAAAAGGGTAAAAAAAAAAAGAAAAAGTTAAATCTCTTATATCTCATCCTTAATACCACTATGGATCCTTGTTCCCATGCTTATTTTTGTCTGGTATTGTAACCAAGTTCTTTATTTTGGTTTCTGTGTTTTGATGCGGTAACTACTACTACAATGACTTCAGCTTCTTGATTTCAGTTCCTTCATTCCACCTCATTCACACTTTAGATTCTCTCTCAAGGAAATAAGGAAATCATAAGGAATTGAAAGTATAATCTTGACATACAAGGTTATTAATACTTTTAACTATAGCCTACTTTACTTATTAAATAAATCATCAGTTTATAGAATATGATGCATTTTTATAGATTGAGCTCTTTAATGGGATATAAAGTTGCTAAAATTAGCTCAACCTCGACCAGCTACAACATTAAAATGACATGGTAATGGATCAATACTAATTCAGTTGATGTATATACAGTATATTGTAACGCTCTGAAATGGGCCATTCTGCCTAGGGAGTACTTTAAATACTTAAACTATATTTTATTTACAATACTTTTCGTGAAAATTTGAATGCAGGACTTTTAACTGTAACATTTTAACAGTCTGCTGTCTGTATTTTCATCTCAATCCTACAACAGTCCAACTTCAACTTTTATTTTGAAAGTCTACTAGCTCTGCTTGTGGGGCGTTGATTGGCTAACCGCTGGAGAATTTCAAGCTAAGTCCCGCCTCCCTTCGGCGTCTTAGCCAATGACGTGTCACTAAACAATATGAGGAAGAAGATGTCTTTCATTGTAGTATCTTGTTTGACGTTATCGTTCATATACAAGCAGGATGGCGAGTCCGGGTGAGACTTCTTTCTACCTCTCACGCTGAAACAAGACTCATTTAACTAACTGCAGCTTATCTGTACTCTAATAACGATATAGAACATCCTTAATGTTGGTTAGTTTGCGCTAAAGAGTTAGCTAATACTCGTTTAGCTAGTTAGTGAGTACCTGTCGCAGGTAACGTTAAAGTGGCATTACAGGAGCTATATTAACGATTAATGTTGACGGTGGGTGCTTAGTTGTATTAAGGTAACTGTCACGCGCACAGATTATCTAGCTGATAAATATTAAATGAGTAAACAAATTGATTATTTTATGAATGTTTACTAATAATTTCTTAATATGCATAATCAGAATGACTCAGCACAATTAAAGTGTTATTGTGCTCAAACCGGAAGTTACAAGTCTCTTCAGGGAATGGCAGTTTGTAACCCAAGCAACACCCAACAAACTGATTTAATAAACATGATGAGTGTATTCATACCATAACCTGTTACATCAATGGCCAGTTGGGTTATTGTGCCTTCACTCCTTATTTTTGAACACACACACACACACACACACACACACACACACACACGGTCTGATAAGAAAAAGTATGTGTGCCAACATGAGGGAGCAATCTTCTAGAGAGGAATGTACCCTTAAGGTGGAGGTGGATATCATGAGTTTTTTTTGTTTTTGTTTTTTTTTTTTAAATCGGCATTCAGCTCCGTATCCCAGACTGGCTCCAGATCTCCTTATTCATCACCTAAACTATTCTCAACTAATTAAAACCAAATGGCACTTTAATCTGTTTTGTTCTCCTGATACCGATTCTGATACCTCAAGATATTTTCCAAGTACTAGGCTTAATACTAGTGCTCACTTTTTCCCTAAATTCAAAATCTGTATACCCTATTGTGTGGAACCTATTGGGATACTTTTTAGGTGAGGTACTGATGGGGGAACCAAGTATGATGACATTTAATAACACTGACTAACAAACTATAGGCTATTTAAAGATATATTATGTAACCTTTTTTGCATAAAAATGTCTGAAAACAACTAGACCACTGTTATATATTTTGTTTAGGTGTGTACTTACAAGGTCACCTGTCACCTGTCGGTCGCATCATGTCCCCTTTGCACATGCATCAGGGTTGTGGTTGTCTGCCAGAAGCTGTCATAAATGGACTTTTTATGGAGTTTTAAGCCTCATTGTTACAATTTACTTTTAAAATCTTGTTCGTTTTTTAACGATATGTTTTAACCGGATGAAGGATTTTAGTCATTCAACATTTAAATCATAATTTATCAGAGAAACAAGCTAAGCAAACCTAAGTGGCAATTTGGCTTCAGCCCCTGCTGTGCCGAACAGTGTTTTTAGCAGTTTTAATCGCCTGGCCCATTTGATTTGGAGACATCTGCTGATAATTCGGCTCCCAGTAAATATGATGAACACTCAAGGAATCCTAACCAGGAGAAACTGACCGCAATGACAGCACTGAGACCCCATAGCCGCAGAAACTTACACGTTGTTCCTTTAATGTTGATTGTGCCACATCATGGGTGTGATTATTATCAGGCTGTATGCACTCTTGTACCACAGTGTGCAGGTGCACACACCAGAGAAAGTAAGAGTAAGTAAGAGTTAGTAATGAAATCTTATGTCAGACTGGTATCTGACTGACCTGTGTTAATAAAAATAAGTGAGTGCTGCAGTTTTCTGGGAGTTCAACAAAGGCTTATCAGACTTAGCAGAGCCTTTAATGTGTTTTCTCTCTCATTGCCAGTCACCAAGGAGATCTCCTATGAGGATCTGAAAGCTCTTCTGGGAAAGAGTCAGAATCTCCTCCTCATTGATGTTCGCACTAAAGAGGAGGTTGATAAAGGACAAATTCCAGGATCCATTCACATGCCAGGTGAGCATCTTTTAAATGCCTTTTCACAGAGGAGAAAAGATCTGTTCATCATCTGTCTTTTATTTCATCTTGAAATGTTTTTCTGCCTTCTCCTCCTCCTGCCTTTATTCATCCAGTTGATACAGTAGAGACTGCTCTTGCACTGACGCCAGAAGAATTCAAGGCCAAGTATGGAGTAACCAAGCCACCGTTGGACGCGCCAGAGCTGGTGTTTCACTGCCAGATGGGCAGGCGAGGGAGAATGGCCACAAACAAGGCCTCTGAACTTGGATACGTGAAGTGAATAAGTTATTGGTTACTATACATTATATAGGACACACACACACGCACACACACACATGTGCACATACATACAGCCCATCCTGTTTTTAAACAGACAGCCCAAATAAACAACTTGTGTACACTTGAGAACAATTTTGTGTACTCTGTTCACTCACAGAAATATTGCCTTCAAGCGTTGGCTCTACATGTATTGCTTCTTCTTATTGTTGTCTCTCTGTTTTCTGTTTCAGTGCACGTAACTATGCAGGGGGATACCAGGAGTGGTCTGCGAAAGAGGGAAAATGATTCCCGCTAAAGGAAGCCTCTCATTATACAAATAGGCACTGTGAAAGCTAGACAGACAAAATGTTTTTATAGTGTTTTGTTTTCATACTTTGTTGTCATACATACTAACATGTTTGAATACATACAAATAAAGTAAATTATGCTATCTACTCAGATTGACATGTGTTTGTGGGGATCATTTGCATGAGATGAATCTCTAAACATGCAATAACTGGAGAAAGAAAAACTCCTTTTTGCATGCTACAAAGATTTACACAGTGGTCAGTGATCAAATGTAGTACAGGCAGGATATAGCACCAAAAAGTCAGCTGAGGAAGATTATGAGACGTGGTTAAAAGCTCAAGAAAATGCTTGTGAGTGGATGTTCTCCTAAGATTTTGTCATTTTGTCCTACTAAAATTTGGTTTGGTTTAATGACAAGAAGAGTTGCATAATTCTGCGATTACACATACTCAGTATAGGAAAGATTCTGAGCACTCACAGCATTTTTTAGACCATATCTAGGAAGAACTAAAATAGAATAAATATGGATACATCTGACTGAATATGAAAGTATAAAGCAGTAGCATGTGTGCAGGGTTGTTTTTATTATTTCACAATCAAGGGTTTTTGGACCTAATGGGTTTTTTTCCCCAGTTTTTTAGACAGTTTTTATTTAATTTTATTTTATTTACCAAGTTTTTTTCCAACTTTATTAAGAGCAGTGATTTATACAAAGTCAGACATCATAGCAATTGTAAAAAAAAAAAAAAAAAAAGAACTGACAGACTGAAATGGACGAATAACAAAGATAAAACAAACAAGCAGACAGCATTTAAGTAGGAGACAAATGGCAACAAGAAGGCAGATTACAATGATAGGTGGTCAATATACTTTTCTTGTTATTCACATGTTAAAAGACATCATTAAATTAAAAGAAAATCTACCAAAAAAACTCTTAAACAGGAGGATGAATTCCTTCATTGTCATTGTCACAGATGTTACAACGAAAGTGTTCAAAAGTCTGATTGCCCATGGATAGAAGGTGCTTCTAAGCCAGTTTGCCCTGCTCTCCAATACCCTGTATCACTTCCCAGAGGGCAGGAGATTGAAGAGGCCATGGCCTGGGTGGGATGGGTCAGACAGGATCTTCTTGGCCCTGTTTAGCGCTCGGGTGTATTTGCTATGTCTTCCAACGAGGTCAGAGGGCAGCCAATAATTCGCTGCGCTGATTTAATGACCCCTTGCAGGGCTTTCCTGTCCTTGGCCGTGCAACCTGGGTACCATATAGTGAGGCAGTATGTCAGCACACTTTCTATGGTGGAACAGTAGAAGCAGTAGGTGCACATCCAGGTCACATTTCCTTAGCAGTCTTAGGAAGTGTAGCCTCTGCTGGGCCTTTCCGACTACCGCTGACGTGTTGGCGGACCACGTTAGGTTATCAGCCACATGCACCCCAAGAAATTTAAAAGAGGAGACTCTCTCCACACAGATGCCCTCTATCTGTAGTGGGGCAGGGTCAGGTCTCTTCCTCCTCCAGTCCATCACCATCTCCTTGGTTTTGCTGGCATTCAGCAGGAGGCTATTCGCTGAGCACCAGGCTGCGAGCCTCTGGACCTCCTCCCTGTATGCTGTCTCATCACCGCCAGAGATGAGGCCCACCACTGTTGTGTCGTCCACAAATTTGACAATGGTGTTAGAGTGGTGGAGGGGGGCACAGTCGTATGTGTATGGGGCATACAGGAAAAGGCTTAGCACACAGCCCTGAGGCGAACCTGTGCTCAGTGTCCGAGTGGTGGATGTTAGGGTCCCAAACCTCACTGTCTGTGGCTGGTCCATCAGGAAGATGTTTATCCAATCACAGGTGAGGGGTGGGAATCCCAGGTCAGTTAGCTTCTGGAAGAGGATGTTCGGCAATATGATGTTGAATGCCGAACTAAAATCAACAAACAGCATCCTGACATAGTTCCCCAACCCCTCTGTGTGGCCCACAGCAGTGTGGAGGACGGTGGCTATGGCATCTGCTGATGACCTGTTTGCCTTATAGGCAAACTGGTGCTGGTCGAAGTTCTGGGGGAGGCAGGACTTGAGGTGGGGCAGGATGAGCCTCTCAAAGTACTTCATGACCATAGAGGTCAGTGCCACTGGTCTGTAGTCATTAAGGCTGCTTCTGGAGGCTTTCTTGGGCACAGGAACGATGGTAGCTGTTTTCAGGCACAATGGAACAGTGGCCTGTTTCAGGGAGATGTTAAAGATCCTTGTTAGGACCCCTGACAGCTGGTCAGCGCAGGCCTTCAGTACTTTGCCCAGTACCCCATCTGGGCCTGCTGCTTTGTGTTCGTTCACAGCTCTCAGAACCCTTCATGCTGTTGATGATCAAGCAAATTCAACGAATTAACAACTTTCAAAATAAAAAAAAAATACCATCTCTGAATTTGAACTTTACAGAGTGACCAGTGTTTCTAAAAACATATGTTCCCAATGTGTCCAAAACTGAACAGACTGAACAAACAAATCAGGTTCATTGTTGCAAAATCTGTATTGTTCATCTTAGTCAGCAAATCCTGACACCGTTACATTAGAGGGGAAGAAGTTGTGCAAGAAACATTAACAAAGTTTGGCTTTTGGAGTTTATGGGTTTATGACCTCAGCATTTTGAAATTCCTGACTATGGTCCTGTGCTGCTTTCAGGAGCTCTATAACAACAGGAAAAGTCAATGTAAATTCTACAAATGTGTTATTGATTTATCTACTGTATTGCCCTCGTTTTACTTATAAGGTATTACCAGTTATTTTGAAGATTTAACATCTCTGCTGGCTGTTATTTAAAGTGTGTAGAAATTTGTATATTGTTTAACAGGGAGATATACTGTGACTACATTAGTGGGCCAGGCACGCGCGCAATCTGACCACCAGCGCGTGCTACTCAGCGCGTGCCTGGCAGTTAAACTACTTCAGTTAGCTAAAGATGCTCAAAGAAATACAGCAGGTAATGTAAATTAGAGTTGTTCTAGCTAGAAACATAAAGTTTATATGGTTAAAATATTGTCTTATTGACAGTTTGTCTCTACTCGTCATTATTGATAAAATAAGAACTGGTTATCAAAGGTTTGAAGCTAGCTAGCTAACGGGTTATAGTTTAAGCTAGCATTAGCTAAAGTAAGAGTTCGTGTTTTTAATTATGACTGCAGGTGTTGCGGTTGGTCATGCTTTTTGGTAAGCACAGACAACACCCTTGCTTTAAGACTACAGGAGGACTTTTGGTGCTTTTGTGGACTGAAACAGAAGCGTCTGTTCGAAGTATAAACTGCACTGGTAAGTTTAAAACCACCACATCATGGTCTCATAATCTAACCTGCCTCATGAGGATGAACTACCACTGGCATTTAAGTGCCTAACAGTGGGGTACCCCCATTTTGTCAAATAGAAGTATCAGTGTGCTTGAGCAGCAATTCTAACAGGAATATAGTATACATTTGATTACCACTATTTAAATTTACTTGTAAAATATAGTTAAATAACTGTTAAGTGGAAAAAAGGCATTAAAACACTGATACATTGAGCTGCCTTACTCACAAGCACCTGTATACTACCAGGTTGTAGATAGTTGCAACTGTCATAGGTGGAAGAAGTATTAAAATCCTCTACTTTAGTCAGTGTAGAAATGCCACAGTAAAACAAATATTAAAAGTAAAAGTCCTGAATTCAAAAAGGATTGGAAATTAGCGCCAGCCACCAGCCATATTCTGGTAAAATATGAAAATGGCTGCTGGATTTACTTCACTCACCAGCCTACAAAACAATGTTAATCTGTTGAGTTGCTGGTAGATTTTGTAGACCACCAGCCACAGTGGAAGATGGTTTATTTCGGTTCAGAAGTTCATTTCCAACCCTTTTCAAAATGTTACTGAAGTTAAAGTAGAGAAGCATTATCAGCAAAATGTACTTAAAGTATCAAAAGTAAAAGTACTCAGTATGCAGAATGGCTTTAGGAGTGTTAGTGCTCTTAGTCTTTGTTAGTATGTCTACATGTGTGTGCAGTAATTGGTGAGTAAAGGGGGGAAATGTGTTATATTAATTTAGGATATTACATTATTCTGTTTTTATCTCAAAGAAATACATGTAAGAATATTTTATGTTGTAGTTCATCAATGTTTTATTATGAGTTCAGTAACTATAAGTGTTAGGGATTCACAGTGTTGGATTTTTTGCCAATATCCAATATGCCAGTATGTAACAACTCATTTGACTGACAGAACTAACAGTTCTGATATTGATATATAAATTTTTTCCTTCCCTTAATTAAGTGATCATCAAGTCTCTTCTGTAGTGAAATTAATGTTATACATGCATACTTTTGTTGTGATGACCCACTAGCAGAGACATGAAATACAGTGCTTTTCAATGTATGTAATATTCATACATTGTGCAAAATAGGAGAAAGCATGTTGGCCGGTTCTTTTAGTTTATTTTAAAATTGATATTGGCCAATCCCAATGACGTACCAATATTATCATGTATACCTTATAAGTGTCAAATAAATGTAGTGGAGTAAGAAGTACAATATTTGCCTCTGAGATGTAGTGGAGCAGAAGTATTAAGTAGCATTATATACTCAAGTAAAGAACAAGAATATTGAAATTGTACTTGAGTAAATGTACTTTGTTACATTCCACCACTTGCAATAGCAGTGTCATACATTTTAGGCTGTTTCAATAAAAATAGCAAACACTGGTAAACAACAAAAGCTAACACTGGTAACCATCAATATGGAAAGGATACAGATATCCATCCAGTACGAAAACAGAACAGATCACCACAATAAAATAATTTTTAAAAAATGAATTAGTCACACCTGTAGGCATTTATTTTGACTAATTTCAGCTCGCACTTGAATGCTTGAAAAACCTTGGTTATAGATAAAAAGGGAAGTGACAGCAGCTGTGATTTCTAGGATATAAAGCATGCAATGTACAGAAAGTGTTTTAACAGTGTTCGCATCTGTGGTGCAGTTGCAGCTGCTGGTCCCTGGTGTACAGGGATTAAAATGAAAGCACTCCAACCTGGTATGTACACACACACTTGATATGTACACAACTCTTAAGCTTTTGTACACTTCATCACCGTCTTTTACTACATTAGTCCTCAGAGACTTGAAGGAGAGCATGTTCCCCTCTTCATGGCCGTGTCCTTTGCCTGGCCCTGAAGAGCTGGGTGCCTTCACCGACCTGTATGGTTCCCTCAAAATACTCCTGTCTTTTCAGGTACAAACAATAGTCTCCTTCACTATAAGGACTGATATTAGAGCCTGAGTATTTTCTTTTTATTAAGCACAAGATATTTGGGTGGAATCACTTTACTGATTGTAGTAGCTGGACAAAGCTTACCCAGATGTCAACGATTAATGTTACACTTTTAGTTTAGTATATTTCCTTCTACTTCCAATGTGATTACTGATAGATGATCACAGTGAGCCTGTGGATGACATATAATCTCTGTCTATATCTTTGCACAGATGAAAGATGAAAGACTTTTCAGTCCAGAGTGGTGCGCTCGTATAGAAACGTTCCTACATGCGTTCAGTTTGGCTAACGCTAAGGTAGGATCTGTTTCCCTCTGACATGTACCTACAGGATAGTGGTAAATTAAGTAGCAAAATTTGACTGCCCTTTATTTCCACAGATCAAAATCCAACTTAAATTCAAATTCAGTCAGCAGATCTTTCAGCGAGACTTTAGGTATGACTACCAGTTTTCCAGTTTAAGCTCAAAGATTTACTTTCTTGGAGGTCAAGCACATTTCTCATCTGTTGGATTATTTCATGATGAAACTCTTTTGCTTAACTAAGTTGTGTTTTTGGATTATGTTTAGCTTCTGTATACATTTGACACACTCAATGTATTGGTTAATTCATTCACTCTGTATTACACAGAACTGATCTATTTTGTCTCGTAAAGTGTGTATTATAAATTTACTTAAAAATAAAAAGTGATCATTTCCCTCACAGCAGTAGATCTGATTTTACTAGTGGCTGTTTGTGGCTTTATGAGTTACAACATAATAACAAACACAAAAACTTAATACTCTAGCCAGGCCTCTTCTGCCTTCTGTTTTTATGATGTGCTAACATCATCGTTCATATTCCTGCAGAGTGAAGATGACGAGTAAAGTTTCATGGGCAAACCAACCAGCACTGATCTTGGATGTCACCTCTAGTGCAAGGTCAGTAATGCTGTTTTTGATATTATTTAAGGTGTGGTCGTTTGTGTGGATCAGTGTTGTCTCAATTCTCTTAGTAGCAGATGTGTAAACAAAATAATCTTTTCCTCATCTATTAATGCAACACAAAGATGTTGAAAATAAATGTACAGGTGTGTTTAGCACCTCCAAATCTGTTGAGGTGGTTGGGCATCTGATCAGGATGCGTCCTGGGTGCCTCCAGCTCGAAGTGTTTCGGGCACATCCCACTGGGCAGACCCAGAACACACTGGAGGGATTACATATCTCATCTGGCCTGGGAACGCCTTGGGGGCCCCCAGGAGGAAGGGGAAAGCGTTGCTGGGGAGAGGGACGTGGTGCTTTACTCGGCCTGCTGCCCCCGACTCGGCCCCGGATAAGCAGATGAAAATGGATGGATGGAGGTATGTTCACTGTTGTTTATAGAAAGTGATTTTGTCATCTTGGGTTCAAAGGCCTCCAGATTGTGTGAAGAAAGGATGCTGGTGTCAGGGAGGACACCCTGTCCTCGGAGGCAGATTGCCACTCAGCATCCCACCTGAAGTCATGGACCAGGGCCTGTTCGGGGAGCTCAGCATCCAGCTTGTTACACTCCTGAGCCCCTGTGTGCTGCAGTACCCTAATCTGGCAACACAACTTACTCACATTCAGATATCCTTTGCTGATTTTATGTTTTATTTTAAGTTTGTGTGTGGTTTTCATGGACAGGATCTCTAGGCGTGGCCGAGTTATTTTTATAGATGGTTTGGCTCAGCTGTAATCATCAGACCATCTTTTCCAGTGCGCACTGGGATGGTTTGTATTGTGGAGGCAGATGGGAAGGTCAGCACCTCCAATCTGAGGCCATGGCGCTGTGCTGGAAATGTGAGTTCACTGAGTTCAAGTACTTTTAACAACTGAAACTTGTAAAACACAACTCTCCACATGAGAGGCCATAAAAAGTACAATTAGAATAATGCATTTGTAATTTACAATATAAGTATTATAATACAATTTCACAATACACAGAAGAGAGTATTGTCGTCAACAATACATCGTCAACAGTCTTACCAGGGTTGTGTTGTGTTGAAAAGAACTAGCTTGAAAGACATGTTGTCCGACCACATTTGTAATCAACAGTGTTTATAGTTGTTCCAAACAGCTAAACATGAATGCCCAGGGAAAAGCTGTTTGTCATAGAGAGGGCGGAGACGCAGTATTGTTTAGATATGGGGATGACGGTGCACATTCTCAGTCAGTCTCTCCTGGAAGGCGTTCATAGGGTTGCACTTGGTTGTTCACATAAAACTAAAATAGTTGTATGTCAAAAAGGGAGCTACGGTTAAAAACCACCTTACTTTCTTACTCCGCAGTCCGCACAGCCAGCCAATCATGACATAAAATGGGTGTGACTGTTGGTTCAGAAAGTTACAAACCAAACCTCGATCTACAAACCAAAACCTCAAGGTCGTAAGCTTTAATGATCAAAACAATGAAATCAGACATCTTGGGCGGAAATCAGTATAACTGCTGCTCCTTTGTGTTGACTTAGTTGTTCGGGCATCTGATTTGGATTAGTCTTCCTTGACTTCACGTGTCCAGGTGTTGGTATGCGGCCCCAGTAATGTCCCTTTCACAGGGCCCTCCACCTTCTTCCAGGACCTCCCTTCTCATTTGGACTGTCAGGAACTTGGCCTGCACGGTCTTCACTGCTTGTACTCCAAAGGTAGACAACAGTCACTGATAAGAACAAAACATACTGATGGCCAGTTTAGGTCATTTCCTAGAGGAACTGTGAGAACCTTTTCTCCTGAACAGGGTAAAAATAAAAGCCCCGGACAGTTAATCCTGTCTTAAAAGGCAGAATTTCTGAAACATTTTATGAGGCCTGAAATGAACCAGACTAATTTCAACCACCTGGGTTTATTTGTTAGAGAATGAGCACACAGCCCTGGCCTGCAGCTGCCTATAAAAACTTTAATGGATCACAAAGGCCCCTGATTTGAATCATATGAATGAAACCACACCGAACATGGAAGTAGAAGAAGCACACACACACAGAATACAATAACAAAAAACTCAGAGTGACACGGAGAAAAGGCTGCAACGCTGCAATTCTGGGCTTCAGCAATGAAATGATTGTCAGTGCATGACATAAATCTGTCTCCTGTGAATTCATTCACATGCAACTAATCTTCTTTAGTGTCTTATTGTTATTGCGTACAGTTAGTTATGATGCAAGAGGCGTTGTGCAGTCACTGTGCAAAACATTCTCACAGAGATTTTGGGGTGGAGAAAGGGTTTATAATGTGTTAAAGTTCGACACTGGACGCTCCTCTCTTTTACTAGAAATCAGTGTTAATATTTATCATATTTTCCTTAGACTGTGATGTCACCCTGACCTTAACTAAGTGGGTGTAGCTGCCAACATTTTATCATGCCTTATAAAGGAATACTTTATGTGTGTACTGCTGTGGATGACAGTGTCAGCAAAACTTATTTTAGTCACCCGAAAGAAGAACTTATTAAAAAAGAAAACATTTAAAATTGATGCCATATTTAGAATATTTTTACCACTTTACCTTGCCATCAGACTTCCCTTTCTGACGGGGAGCTGGAGCCATTATCTATGCTCTCTTCAAAGCCACCAGATTCCTTTGGCAAAAAAGGAAATTTTACCTTGCAGAGCACGCTGCCTGCTGGTCTACCGCTTTCTCAATCGGTTAGTTTGTTTGTGTTATTGTGTTATTACTGTCAAAGGAGTTTGGTGACTTTGAAGAGAGCATAGACGGATATAAGGGTTTGAAAAAGTGGAAAAGTTTAACATTAAAAAAAGAGGAGAAAGTTTAAAATTTTGCAGGGGTGATCAACATTAGTGTTTTATCTGATATGTTTTTTAAAAAAGACTATCCAGGCAACATAACACCTTCCCAAAATTAATTTTTCAACTGCAGACACAACCATAATTCTTAGGAGCATTTTCTTTGTATCTACAAATACGGTTTGGAAATGGTTCTCGTGAAAATGATTGAATGTACTTGACAACCAGGTGGTTGGTCTTCATTGAAAAACACCATCTACTCCTTGTGTGTCCAGACAGTCAGCCTTTCTAAATGTAATTCTGCCTTCTTCGATGTGTAATCTAGGCCTTAATTTAGTCCTGCAGTAACTAGAGATTTTCTGTCGGGCAGGCGGTGAAGTTAATTAAAGACGAGGCTAAAGCTAGGATTATTCTAAAACACGTGTGAGTGAGCTGATTAGGTCTAAATTGGTTCAGTGGGAAGGGGCACTTTGTCTGGAATGTAGCTTAATCATCCGTTAATAATCTTGGTATTACTTAAAAAATGGCTGATTTCCATAGCTGATTTCTCAGAAACTGCCCTTGCATAATAAGCGGTTCTTGTCCTTGTAGATTAAACAGTGAATCACAACCATGAGTAAAACCACAGGCATCGGAAATCACAAGCAGCTTACTCATTCACAATACAGAATGTAAACAGAAAAAGGAGCCATAACACAGTCTGCGCTGGTATTTGGAGAGAAGAGGATCCATACCTCAGAATTGTTGTTGTTTTACACCCAAGAAAAGATTTTGTAAACATCTGTTAGCTTATTAAACTAAAGGGAACTCAGGTTTTAAAGCTAGAGCTGTAAAACCAAATGTAACAATTACTTGCTCAACCCCAAGGTGCATCTTCCATTACCCTGATATTACGCACATGTTGGGATTGTTGATCCCCACAGCTGTACCAGTGTAGACCTGCAGTGTGTTTATCATTTAGACTGAATATCGTCACTAATGATCATGTTTTCCTCCCATTTCCTCTAATTTTTTTACTCCGCAGAACATGTTGTAACATTCTCTCTGCAGATCTTGTGCACAGCGGAGGCACTGTGTACACAGTAGAGCAAGAAAACAGTGAGGACCCAGAGCAAGAAACAGTGCAGCAGGGTCTCCTGCTTTTCCTGTCCCTGCAGCACAGTGACCCCTTCACCTGCCAGCTCTCTGATATGATGGGTGAGAGACAGCTGCATGTCTAATCACAATGCACTGCACTAAAGTTGGTCTTTCTCATTTTTTTTTTCCTGTCTCTTTGATCCTCCCACAGCCACAGAGGTGCTGATAGAGCGCCACCTGGAGGATATTCTGAGCAACAACAGGCAGGCAGTCACATCAGCTGTGCAGACCGAGCTGCAGAACACACTGAAAGCCCAAAATCACAGAAAAAAGGCAAGTCTGACACACACATACACACTGGAGAGGAAAGGTTTTTTTTAATCACTCTTTAATGTTAATTTTATAATTTACATTTTTATATTATTGGTGTTAGTAGCATTAGGTAGTTAATAATGAATTATTAATTTAATTTAACAATTTTAAAAGTTGATTTATATAGAATAGTACATTAAATATAACTAAATATCTTTGGGTCATGGACAAAACAAGACATTTGAGGACGTCATATTGAGCTTTGAGAAACACAGATTGACATTTTTCACCATTTTCTGACATTTTATAAACCAAATAATGAAATGATAAAATAAGAAAATAATCAATAGTGAAAATAATTATCAGCTGCAGCCCTAAAGATGTTACACATTTGCATGTTGGGCTGTTGTTGAATTTGAAGATGTCACCTCTGGGCTTTGGGAGATTTTAATGGTCATTGTCCATTATTTTCTGACATTTTATAAATCAAACAATTAATCAGTTAATTGGAAAAAATAATCAGTATATTAATGAAAATATCTGAATGGGCCTAATAGTGTATGTTTGGCTGTTAAGGACCAGGAGAAGCTGCGTTCAGCTGCTGAGGTGATTCTCAGTTCGTCCATCAGTATTGTGAGCTGCAGCAGTAACATGGACTTCAGAAACGCCTGTCTGAACAGGATGAAGGTGTGAAAAGATATAGTTATAGTCTCTGTAGATACAGTTCATTCTAAAATAAAAGAGTCATTCACTTCAACAACTCTCATAATTTAACACTGGCAAAGATGTTATGTGCGACACTGTAAACACACTTACATACATGTATGCGTGTTGATCATGTGACAGAAGTCAGATGTGCATCCATAATGTATGTGTTTGTCAGGTGCGTGACACTCACAACCTGTCAGCCTCCCTCCGTGAATCACTGAGGAGGGTGACATCATGGAAATTCACTCCCAGGGGCAGGTGCTACTCAGCCCAGGTGAGTGGGATGTTTGTTTTTCACTGACACCAACTGGTTACTATAGCAGCACCTCAATAATCCTCAATTTTACACCACGTCATTACTTTCACAGGTGGAAGAACATCCTGAGAGTGATGATGAGCCCACAAGAACAGAAATCTGAGCGTGTCCTTGTTTGTCTTGGAAGGGTTTATGGAAGGCTGTGGAAGTAGAATATTTTTGCAGTTTAAAGTAGGGCAGCAGTGCATTTGGTAAATGTGCTGGTGATAAAGATATCTGTTTAACCTTTAATTAAACAAATACAAAGTTCTTATCAACGTTTGGGTGTGACACCAGATGTTTCCTTAAGACAGTTATAAAAGAGAAAAAGTTTAAAAAGCGATTTATATTAGTTAAATTTGCCTTAAACCCTTAAATAAAAACAAATAAACACCTTTATTATTTAATATTAAATGTTGCATCATTTCGTAATAGTTCGTACTATTGTTTGTGGCTGTACAACAAGTTAAGCAAGGATAACCAGTCTGGTTTAACGTATTTTCGACAGGTCTGAGGGCTGACACTAAATAAACATTCTCATGGTGAACACAAGATGGCGGTAGAGGCTTTTATTTTTTGTAGCGCTGCTCACTTCCGCTCCCTATTGTTTTGAGATGTGACGTATGTCCGGCCGCCAACACCGGCAGCACTTTTTCGCGGTAAAATCGTAAACAGAAATGTGCATCTGATGTCGACTGGATCTACTCTGCAAGCTAACGTGTAGCTAACAGCTGTAGCTAGCATTTAGCACCCGCTTTGTGGAGAGGATTAGCTTGTCGTTGTTGCTATGAAGTGAAAGCAAAGCTAACGTTAGCATCGAGACCTACTGAAGTTTTATCATCTACAGTTTTGCATTGATTAACAACGAAGGTAGACAACTCAAAACAATGACTCAAGTAAACGGAGAAAGCCTAAAAGCAGAGCTGGAAGTGTTCGACATACCCTGCCAAGATGACGCCATCCTCGATAAGAGTAAGTAGCTAACACCCGCTAATGTCTGCAAATTAAGCCAAGAGCAACAACAACCACCCAAATGGTGGTATGTAACGAGACACTACTGTACTGGTACATGCTGTGTATAGTGTCTGATTTTTAACGCTTTTGATGAGGTTTCATGTTATTAAGTAGGCATTTATGTTCTTTTGTCTTGCTCATTTGCCTAACACCGATCTTGACAGTGACTGCAGGTGGACACATCTGTCACATTTATATAACACTGATGTTCATTAGTGTGCGTTGTTTGCGATAAATTAAATAAGTAAAAGGATTAAATTTATTTGATTCAAACTATTTTATGTGCATCATAAGCATCTGTAATCATCATTCATATGTTTGATTTAAATGTATTTATATCAGAGTGATAGTGCCCCCACTGCTGATATACAGTATTATTTTAAGTTGTTGTAACTGTACAGTATTTATTGTCAACATATTACAAAGTGACAACTCCTGCTTAACAGAGAATACCTTAGAGCTCTGTACACTGTCAGCCCTTTAATGACATGTAGCAGACAACAGATTAAAGACTAAAGAAAAGGGATAGCCAACACACTAATGGTGCAAACTATAAATTAGCACACAACTAGCATAAACCATCATGTTCTGAGCAGACAAACCATAGACAATAACAAAAAGATGACATTTGCATTATGAAACAGAAAAGAGCAAACCAGAGAGCAACTACAAACTACTCAGTCCAATCACTACATCCCATTTTTAAAAGCTCTTCTTCCTTTCCTTTATATCTCCTCTGTCCCTCAGTGGTGGAGCAGTGTATTTGTAACAGGATCCAGGCGGATGAGATGGTGCTGGAGTGGGTGGCCTACAGCACCACAAAAAATGGACTAAAACTCTCTATGGACACCCTGGAACAATTTGAACACGAGGTAGCAAGATCCTATACTGATTTTTTGTCACATGTCATATATGGATTGTGTTACTGATATTGCTGCTGCGAACTTGGGTCTTTCTTTCATCTTAGTTGAAAGTTGTCCTCACTGTCACACACGGCACCAATTTTGTATTCACAGCGAGTTCATTGTCTTTGCAGGTGTTAAATAAGAAGAATAAATCCAAACAAAGCTTCAGGAAAGAAGAGACTCATAACAGAACCAGAGATATCCACACATTACAGGACCTGTATCCTTGACAGTGAAGTCTTCATGCTCGTCTATCTGGATTTATCTGTTGTCTTTAATGAGTGTGGGTAATGCTATTGTGTCACAGTCCTTGACATTATTTGTTCAGAATGAAAGTAGAGGAAGAGGAGGAGAATCTACTGGACGCTTACTCTACTCCTGCTAAGGTAAGCCAACACTAGTAACTTCATGTAGTGTTTATGTAGAGGTATATGCCTTTGAAGCTAAATAAACTATGTGTGACTCACTTGTGTGCTCAACCCTGAATGTGTGTGTGCGCGCATAGGGCTCTCAGAAGCGAGCACTGACCACTCCTGAACACCCTCATTCAAAAAGAACTGCAGCTCTGCTGGCCAGCCCGGGCCTGCTGCTGTCACCTGCCAGCTTCTCTCCCAGGTACTCAACAACACAGACAAACACTCAGTTGAATCCACACAAGGTCATAGTGCTCCTGCACTTGGTGTTTGGCTAGTGTTAACAAGCAATATACAGGATTGTTTAATCTCAGTTTATCTTAAAATCACAAAGTTTGTGTGAGGATGTATTGTGTTTCGAAGTGTAATTTTTTTGATTAGTTGAGTTACAAAGTTACAAATACTCAACTTAACCAAGCATATGTTGCATAGTCGTGGTAGGAACCAAAAAATGCTGGATGAAGTCTATACTTCTTTAAAGAAAATTTTAACATAACTTTTGGGGCATTTTCACCTTTATTTTATGACCTGCAGCAAAGGTCCCGAGGCTGGAATTAAACTTGGGATGACCCAATGTCCTGTAAACACTTTGCTACCAAGGCACTTGAACTTTTTACCAATAGACTGAATCAGTCTAGACATTAGCTGTACTTTGACACTTATTCCCTTCTCTCTTTGGAAGTGCAACGCCATCCCAGAAGTACAGCCAGCGAGGAGGAAAAGGGGAGGTGGTGGTTACATTCGGAGCCGTGCAGGGCACCCGCTGGGCAGGCAGGAAGGGCGCAGGCGTCCAGCTGGAGCTGCTGGAAGGGCCTGAAGACTCTCTCCAGTGCAGCTACAAGTACATGTTTCAGAGGCTGCGCGATGTTCGAAATGGTGAGAGACAAAAACGTAAAAGAGCCGTGAATTCATAAAACTACTTTGGAAAGAAGATTCCTTTAGTTTTAAATCTCCACATGGCATAACTCTGACATTCATACATTTCTCTTGAATTTTAAATGAAACTGTGCACACCCCTCACAGATAAACAGAAACAGTTTATATGACTACATATTGTTTGAAGTTGAACAGTGTGCGTCTGTTTTCCCCAGTGTTAACAGAGAAGATAGAGGAGCTTGGCGACAGCCTGAAGTCTCACTTCAACATCGAAGAGTTCTCCCCCGTCTCTCTGCCTGCTCAGGTACAGAAGTGTGTTACTGCTGCCAAAAACCTGTAAAATCATAGAAATCTAAAAATGTGATTTGCAAATGTTCTGGTAACTTTATGGATATCTTAATCTGAGTTCAGACCAAAGATTGGCATGATGAGTTGCAATTTGCAATATATGCAATATTATACATGTTTGTCTTGATTATCAATATAACTTTACCATGTGCCCCACATTTTTTTATGAGCTGATTTAAACCAGATACAATTTATAGCTATTGAATATATGTGTATAATTAAGTGTTGTCTGACTGCTCAGTTTGGTGTGTTTTACATCTCTCCACCTTTAGGACAGTATAACAGTGCTGGGTCAGGTTTGCTGCGACAGTAATGGCAAACTGAATGCACAGTCGGTTCTGCTGGAGGCAGGACCGGAGCAGGGCGGTCAGCAAGTACCTGTTGACCTATCAGAGCTTAAAGACTACTCCCTGTTTCCTGGTCAGGTAAGCCAAAGGACACTTCTCATCTTGGCAGATTAAGCTACAGATGGATCTTACACCCAACTGTGCAGCTTTCTGCCACTGTCTGCCTTGTATTCTGCCACTGTAATCTACAGTAGAGTGCATACTGATCGCAGGGTTAATGCATGCACAGAGCGGTGGTCACTCCTTTTCCTGTGCACTGAGTTGTGTGTAGCAGGATACATGACCACCAAGAGTGACAGAGCATGCCAAGGACCTGGGTAGCAGACTCACCCAGTGTCTGACCGAGAACTCTGACAACCAGTCGCCACATAAGAATAAAAAACTGTCTACCTGCAGTGTATGAAACTCTGTTGTCTTCTCTCAGGTGGTGGTGATGGAGGGGATGAACACAACCGGAAGAAAAATGATGGCGTCGAAACTCTATGAGGTCAGTTATACCTTTACAAAGCAACATTAACTTGAAATATTGTCCACAAATTTAGCAGTTCTGATTACTTTAACTTTTAGAACTGGGGCCTGTTTGTATCTTCTGTTAAAAGTCTTCTGTTTTTAGGGAGTTCCTCTTCCTTTCTACACTTCGGAGGTGAAAATGGAAACGGATGAAGGTAAGTGATGTTTGTTGATAAAATCTGTAACATTTTCTGTAAATCTAATGATTAGATTAATAAATATACATCCTTTAAGGAAAAATCTGCCATCTTTTATGTGGACAGCCAACCAGTGTTGGTGGTAGTCTGTTGAAACGATAAATTCCTCACTGTGTGCTATGGGACAATGTCATGCCAAATTTTGAGTGCACAGGATGTTGTGGCTGACCTGAATATTCAGTCATATTTATTCAAGCTAGAATAGACAGCTGAAGAAATGCAGCAGAGACCAACTGAGGCTGCAGCTGTTGCTGCATTTGCCACACAAGAGGATATGGCTGGTGGAGACCCTCCAGAACATGCAATGCATCCTGGTACATGTAGGCATGACACAGATATTCGAGAGAACTTAGTTTTTCCTGTCAATATAGCACACACAGGAATTTATTGCTTCAATAGTCTACATTTACCATCAACACTAACTGAACATCCACATAGAAGGTGGCAAACTTGTCCTTTTCAGCTTTCAACCTCAATATCAAGAGTGATTGCAGTCTGCTAGTGTTAAAGTTAGTTTCTCTCTGTCATGTAAACTGCATCCACACTCATTATATAATGTGATTGCAGAGCCAATAAATGTACTGGTGGCATGTGGGCCGTACACTCCCTCTGACAGCCTGAACTTTGACCCTCTGCTGGACCTAATCAGTGTCATTGTCAGAGATCGTCCTGATGTCTGCCTGCTGGTATAGTCACTTTCTTTTATTTATTTATTTATCTGTGCTGTATCACAAACAGCAGTTATTCCACATACAGGTGGATAAACACATCTTAGAAAATGCTCGTATCTGTTCCTCTTCACAGTTTAGTAGCTCACACAAACACAGTTGTCACATGACTGCGTGTTATGTGTAGGTTTTCTAATTCTCCCCTCTCTTCTTCAGCTGGGCCCGTTTGTGGATTCCAAACATGAACAAATTGAGGTACGTTTGACAGTGGACAGTTTGTGTGTTTATCCTAAAATACCCACTGTCCCTAGATCTAATGTTTTGCATTGTAAAACAGTCTAATTTGAATTTATGACATCAATACATGGCAATGTGAATTTCCCTTTGTTCACTACCATCATTTCCTGTGTCCAGCTCCTCTACTCATGTTGGTTGATGTATGTGACTATAACAATCTCTGCCTGTTGTTTGAAATAGAAGGCCCAGGTGACCGAGACGTTTGAGGCCATTTTCTCAAGATGCATCGAGAGCATTGTGGATGGCACCAGAAGGTTTGTCTCATATTTCCCTGAACTGTTACTGCTATTAAATCTTCAAGACTGGCATTTTTGTCATGGCACCTTGTAAGCAGAAGCCTTTACCATAATGAAGCCTAATGTTTTCTTCATCCAGTGTTGGCTGCCGCCTGGTGTTTGTGCCCTCTCAGAGAGACATCCACCATCATTTCATCTACCCACAGCCTCCCTTCATGCTGCCAAACCTCAGCAAGGACCAGGCCCAGGTCAGACACACGAAGACCTGACTATAAAATTGTACATGTTCATTATATAAATGTTTATTGCTTGCTGGTGAGCACATGCAACAGGCTTGTGAGCAATTATGGCAAACCTCATTTTAATAGGAGAATTTTAAAGTTCAGATTTAGGGAGTTGTTAGTTTTAAAGTAGGTCAAGTAGCAACCCCCTTTTTCAGGCGTCTAATGAACAAGATTAAAGCAGAGGAACTCAGAGAACTTGCCCAATGATGGCAAAATCATTGTCAACTTATTGTCTTACATTGCGTTTCTCTTCATACTCTGCAGCGTGTCACCCTCGTCCCTGACCCCTGCACCCTGCTGATTGACGGTGTGACCTTTGGTGTGACGTCCACTGACATCTTGTTCCACATGGGCGCAGAGGAGATCAGCTAGTGAGGAAGATTTCTAATTTTCACATCTTCATCCAGCAATTGCGTTCAGTTAGAAATGACAGGAAAACATGTTGAACTGAAAACTTTTACATAGTTTTGTGACATTGCTCACATGACCGTCCTCTCAGCCACACTTGAATTTCTATGGGAGTTAATTTAAAGTTCAGAAGCAGTGATTGCATTATTGTTATTATATATTTCAATGAATGGCATCACTGTACAGTGTTGAAATTAAAAATGTATTGTGTTGCAGCGGCACTGGATCAGACAGATTTTCCCGCATACTGAAACACATGCTGACCCAGAGGAGGTAGGAGTCCTGATAGAGCTCTGTTGTTATCTCTATTTTGAAGATGCCCTTCTATTAACAGAGTGCCATGTTTTGTTTTTTTTACCTCCAGTTACTACCCTCTATATCCGCCTGTGGAGGAGGTGAACATGGATTATGAGAAGTTCCAGAGCTTCGGTCAGATGCCGCTGACCCCCGACGTCCTCGTTGTTCCCTCTGAGCTGCGCTACTTTGTTAAGGTACAAGATCTCCTGTTTCTGTTCACACCCTCTATACATTTAGTCTTAGTAGCTGATTACAGGCTCAACAATCATTTAATGTGTTGTTAATATGAAAAGAAGTGCAGCATTGAGTTCAGTTAATGGATGTATAAAGAGAATATTGTAGATATTGTAGCAATTGTTTAACTTCTGTGTATAAAATTACTGTGCCAATGGAGTAAGCGCACTAGAGACTTTCATGGGTCAAGCTTTACTTTCATTTGTCTGGAAAAAAAACACTTAAAATGGGCATGGTCATTTTGCATTATTTTATACATTATGTATTTTAAAACCTCTCTCCCTGTCATCAGGACGTGGTTGGCTGTGTATGCGTCAATCCTGGACGGCTGACCAAAGGCCAGGTGGGTGGGACCTACGGCAGGATGCTCATTCAGCGCAGCACTGCATCAGAGGACGGACAGAGAGTGAGCCCCTGTTTGGCTGCTCAGGTGGTGAAAATCTGAGAGGAAATTAAGACTTTGAATGCTCATCACCAGAAATGAGCCAGATGAACAGGAACAGTGTGCTGTGCTCTCCAGGCACGCTGATGTAAAATATGTTAAAATAAAAATAAAAACACAAACACAACAATTCACTGTAATGTTTCAACCGTCGTGCCCTTTGGTTTATTTTTATATGACAAACATGTCTGTGGTGGAATATAAAACAGAGCAGCAATAACAAATCTCTTCAATAAACCGTCACTCTTTGTACTCGCAGCTCCCAGAGTGCAGTTTGTCACAGGATTGTATTTGTGTCTGTGCTTCTGATTAAAGGTAAAAGAAAGCTGCTTTGTAGTTTAACTTGTAGTCCAAATAAATAAAAGAAACAACTGTTTGATATGTATATAATGTAGTTTAATGTAGTGGAGTTATTCTAGGCAAGAGTTTTTTTTTTTTATTTTTTGTTTTTTTTTTGGACAGATATCTCTAATCAAATAAAACGATCAAATCTAGCATTGACTTAACATAAGTAGTTTTTTATACTCTAAATTCTGAGGTAGTGTTTTGTCCTTTGGGTTTCAGCAGTTAAGACAACACATTTAGCCATAGAAGTCGTCAAACTCATCAGAGTCACTTTGGTGGTCAGACTTCGATTTGTCCGGCTTCACTTGAAAAGCCAAAACGTTGTCACAGACGGCTGGAAAACAAATTAAACAGAGAGCAGCTTCAAGAACTTCTTTTTGTTTGTATCTATCCATCCTTTAACAGTAAAGACTGACGATACTGTACCTTTGGATTCCTCGTTGGCTTTCAGGTCCTTTTCTCTGAAAATGTGAAAAAAAAAAAAGATTTATATTTATATATTTATTTATTTATATAAGTCTTTAATTATCTTACTTGTTCTGTGGTAAGATGATACTGTCGTCTGAATCTTCTTCGTCCTCTGGTTCTGCTCCATCTCTCTGCTCCTCTTTCTCCTCCCCCGCTCCTTCCTCTCCTTCATCTGATTCTCCTTCCTCCATCTTGTCCTCATCTCCTTCACTCTCATCCTCATCCACCTCTTCATCCTGAGAAGATGCTGAACCCTTCTTTCCGTTCTCACTGTCTTCATTCTTCAACCTGTCTGACTGTTCTTCTTCACCATCATCTTTCTCCGACGACGACGACTCCTCATCCTCATCCTCTGCTCTGGCCTCCTCTACCTCTGATGTACTCTTTCCTTCAGAAGCTTCGTCATCATCCTCCACTCCTCCTCTCTCCTCTTGCTCTTCATCCGTGTGACTGTTCTCTTTTTCTTCAGCGTCACCATCATCACATCCATCCCCCAGATCCTTCTCATGCTCCTCGTCTTCTTCCTCTGTTGTATTCTTTCCCTCAGAAGCCTCATCATCATCCTCCACTCCTCTCTCCTCTTGCTTTTCATCTGTCTGACTGTTCTCTTTTTCTTCACCGTCATCATCTTTTCCATCTTCCAGATCTTCCTCATGCCCCTCTTCTTCCTGGTCCTTTTCCCCCACACTGCCTTGCTCAGAGCTGCTGCTCTCCTGCTTTTCCATTTCTTCTCCATGTTCAATCTTTATACTAACACTTCCTGAGTCCTCCTCCCTCTGGGATCCAGACTTCTCTCCACAGCTCTCTGATTTGTCATCAGGACTTTGATCCCCCACTTTTTTACTCTTGGATTCCTCCACTGGACTCCCCAGCTCCTCACTAGTTGATGGACTACTTGAGTCATCTCCCTTGCTCTTGGTCCTTTCCTTCGTCACCTTCTCAGCACTCGGTGATCCCACAGCAAGCCCCCCACTTCTCCTCGTCCTCCTGCTAGAGCTGGTTCTACTTTTCACTGATGAGCTGTCACTTTCTGAGCTTTGGGCCACTGTGACCGCGGCAACCATGATGGCACAGGAAGTCCCAGATGACCTGAAATGAGGAATTGATGAAAAATAAAATGGTACAGAACAAGATAGGGTAGTGTATAAGATGGGTTATATGGACCTTCAGGGTCCCCCAAAGAGTTAAAGGATAAAAAAAATCACTTTCCTCTATTTTCTTTTTCTTTAAATTATGAAATACTGCTTAATTTTACTTTAACGTAAGAACTATTCAAAGGAAAGTTGAGGTGTGCTGTGCTCATATTCTATGCTTTCCTTTGTGTGTATTATAATTTATAACTAATATACATTTTTGGAGGAAGGACTTATTTTTTGGATGACCACTTGAAGCACCTGTATTTCTATTTAAGTATTAACGAGACAGTTCACCCCAAAGTCATATATTTTCCCTCTCACCTGTAATTCTATTTATCAAAAAATTGTTTTGATGTGAACTGCTGAGAGTTGGAGATTCAATAAAAGAAAATAGTTCCTACATGAAACTGCTTACAACAAGGTCTGTGGATTATCTTGAGTAATAAGGTCATGATTTCTGGAAAGAGACATTGCTGTTTTTCAATTTTTTTTTTTTTTTTGGTGCTTTGAGCACCACAAGCTGAGTGCCATCTAGTTCCATTATATTAGAGAGAAGGCAGACATGTCTACGGCAGATATCTCCAACACTCAGCAACTCACAGCAAAACAATCTAATCTAATAAATAGAACTAAAGAAGAAGATATACTTTATTAATCCCTGAGGGGGAAACTCATTTTTTTTTATTCTTGTCATATACACACAGGCCTGAAATACACACACACAAACAGGACCTATACATGCATTAAATGGAGAGATGTCAGAATGAGGGAGCGCTGCCTTGGACAGGTGCCCCAAGCAGTTGGGGGTTCAGTGCTTTGCTCAAGGGCACCATGGCAGTGCCCAGGAGGTGAACTGGCACCTCTCCAGCTACCAGTCCACGCCCCATATTTGGTCCATAGAGGGACTAAAGTGACCCTTCAGTTCTGAAGCCAAGTTCCAATGGACTGAACCACTGCCACCCCAAAGGTAAGGTAAAGGTTCCTCTAAAGGTTTTTGATTTGGGGTGAACTGTCCCTTTAAAGTTTTGTAATTATGGTTAAATTAACTTGTTTCAAAATCACTTTGGAGGTAGTTGTTGTGCAACATTGTCTGACTTCGTGTACGGTTACCAGCTGGTCTTCAGTGTATTGTAATCAGGGCGTAGCACCAAATTCTGGGCCTAAACAGTCTCTGTGGGCCCCTCACCCTTCGTCTTTTGATCCGTGTCTCTCACAAACACCTTTTGAAATCTATTTTACAAAGTCTGTTTGCTGTCTTTCCCTCTTTTCTTGATTTTACTTCCTTTGGGAAAGATATGAGCAGCATAAGCAGTCACTCACTCACCTATAGCTGAGTTAAAGGATGAACCCTAGTGCAGGGTGGACTAAACCATTTTACACCTTTAACGGGTGAGAGGGGCCTTGGAGAGCTTTCACTATTTTTTTTTATAGACAGTTCAGGCTTGAAGCTTATTAATTCAGCCAATTTTAATTATTTTTTGGCACTAATTACTTAGAAATAACAAAAAAACGAAACCAAACTTTTAATTCCAGGGTTTTGGATCAAAAGGTCCCACTTTCCCTCACCATGTCGTCCCAGATTATGATTAAATCAAGCTGCTAACAACTCAAATGTTCGACTTGTGACAATCCAGAAGAGTTAGGAGCCACCAACACAGCTTTACATCTTACAAAGACAGAAGGTATGTAGGTAAGTAAATTGGGTGGAGCGGACAAGCAGGTTGGGTGAGGACCTTATTGAATAGTGAAAGGCTGGTGCGGCATGTAAAGATTAGGCAAATTGTTTGTAACAAATACCAGATGGATCTGTTGAATATCACTTACTCCTGAGAGTTGCACCTTTCTAAGTCTGAGGAGGAGCACTGTGATCCTCCTCTCTTCTCCCCTTTCTTCCTCTTCTCTCTGCTCGCCTGACTGGACTCCCTGCTGCTCTCACTGCTCTCTGCATGGCCACCTGACAGACGAACTAGACACCATACATACATACAACAAAAATTATAACCCATATCAGAGGTGAAGACATATCTACTGAGGAAAAATAAACTTAACACACACTGAAGTTCAACTTGTATTTTCGTTCCCCACCTGGTTTGATGTCCAGCTCCTGGGACAGATGACTGATCCTGCTGCTGCCACTTCTCTCCCTCTTTGAGCTCGGTGCCCTGCTTGCGCCTGCCTCCTCTCCCACCACCTGCGCCACCCTCATCTCAGGAGGGGGCTCCTCCGTGTAGAGCTGACCCCACAGAGCCTCGGAGCCTGAAGGAATCCCAGCTGCACCACCACCAGCAGCAGCTGCACCAACAGTCCAGGACCAAGGGTGGTCGGGCTGTTGGGAAGCCCAGCCTGGTGGATCCTGCCTGGGTCTGGGGTGATGATGAGTGGGTGTGGAGGTGAGAGGGTAGGGCTGGAATGGGTGAGGTGGTAGGAGAAAAGATGGGACATGAAAGGTGCTCTGAGGTTGATAGGGCGCTCTGATGGGAAACCTAGGTGTCTGGGATTGAGGGTGAATCTGCCAGTGAGGCTGCATGTAGGGGAGGTGAGGAGTGCTGTAGTCTGAGTGGCTGTTTTGGCTGTAGTGCTGCAGAGGCGCAGACATTTTTTGTGGCATTGTGGAAGCACCTGCAACCAAAGATGCGTATTAGATAGTCTGGAACGTCTAGAACCCACCTGTCTGAAGGAAGAGGACAAACCTTGTGAAGGTAAAGGTCGATCTGCAGAGGACTCGGTCACTCGTTGCTCTGTGCTCTTTAGACATGACTGCAGATAATCCTCCATCCTCTGTCAAAGAAACATTTGCACATCATCTAATTTGCAACTGTTGTTAGGGTTGAATTTATATAAATATCTTTTCAGTGTCAATTTTTAAACTTTGATAGCTCTACTAAAAGGACATAACCTGCTCTATGTGTTGGCCACAAACCGCTCTTACCTTCTTCTGAGCAGCCTGTGTTTTCTCCTTGAGTTGCTGCTTCCAGCGGGGGGAGCTCTCCTCCATGTACCTCTCATATTCCATCTGCAGGGAGCCAAAGGTCAAGAAGAAGGTTCAGCACCAGAGCTTCACAGAGGCAGAGGTAAAATACAGAAGTGAGTGTTAGTTGTGTTTATGTCTGTGCACCCGAATAGTTTTCATGGCCGCAGTGAGGGTTATCATCTCTCTCAGAGTGTCCTGTGCCTCCTCAAACTGCTGCAGCAGCTGTCTGTTGTGTTGTTTGGCTGTCAGCTCTCGCTCCTTTAGCTCCTGCCAGTGCTGCTGCAGATGCATCGCCCTGCTGCAGGAAACAGAGTCAGATTTGAAATATATACACCAACATACACAGTGAGGGACAGTGTCTTTTGTCTGTGCACTTACAGCTGTTGATGACTGCGAGGAGTTGAAAGGTCAGCTTGCAACATCGCTGGCCTGTTGATGCTGTGACAGTAAGAGACATTAGAGTGCATTATTATACGGCATCATAGTAACCTGTGTATCGCTCTCCTGCTTGCTGATCCACATCTGCTGGAAGGTGGACAAAGAGGCCAGGATGGAGCCTCCGATCCCGACAGAGTATTTACACTCTTGGGGCAACAATTGTTACCTTTATGGCAGATGGGGCCAGGGGGGTGATCTTCTGCATCCTGTCAGTGATGCCGGGGTACATGGATCTACATAGACTACTGTAAACTAGACTATTTAAAAAAATCTATAAATGTTGGACTACACTATGGGCTCCCTCTGTATTACCTTACTGTACAAATATCTGTAGCAGTTCAACAGTATTGTGGTCATTTTTGTTTGGAAAGATATTAACTAAATGCATTTTGAAGAAAGAAAAAAAGCCAAACCCCCATGACTTCCTCTCCCTGACCTCACAGCAGCACTCAAAGGTCTTACCTCTTTTTTATCCGGTGCTCTCTTTGTCTTGTCAAAGTGTTCCTCTCTGTGCCGGTCAGATGTCCAAGAGACGACAAATTCTCCATCGGGGCAGCCATGACTGCAGGCGTTCACTGACTGCAGAGATTATCAGGGATTAAGGTCTGAGCTTTGGGGGAGGGACAAAAGACATGCTGCGAGGTCACACATGGGCTCGATGATGGGGTTAATAACTAGTGAGAGTTGTTTTATACCACATAGGTAACCAAATGAAACATCCACTTACATATGGGTCTGAGTGCCTTTAATATGCTACTTTTATGCAATATATTGAAAACGAAGTTCTATTCAATTTCTGATATTCAGAGATGTGTAGCAGCAAACTGTCACCTCAGGATAAAACACACAAAACATAGATATGCACTTTACACACACATCTGAGCGCTCTATTAAGGCCTCTATGCTATTAAGCGTGAACACATTTTTATAATGAAACATGTATCCTGTTTTAATCATATGCATCCATCTTAGCAAGCTACTCTTCAACTACACATACTGATGAATCATATACTCATGTAAGTGTTGGTAATAATTAGGTGTGGGCAGTGTTGTGGGAGATGGACAGTTGAAGGGGATATGAAGGACCTGAAGTGGACACCTCTGCCAGTTAGAAAATTGTATTCACCTTCACATGAGAAATTAGTTTAGACAGACAACTCACATATTAAAAAAATTATTTAATTATTCTTGCCACCAAAACCGGGGACAGAAACATGCCAGAAATTATGTGTTATGTTATGTTTTCAGGGGATATGTTTGAACCATTTCTTTAGGCACAAAGTGTAAAAAATATAAATCTTTAAAATACACCAACTTGGTGCTCCTGGACACATCTTCAGTGATGTAACCCGGGGTCACTGGGTTTTTCGGGTCTTTCAACAATCAGACACCCTCTCCCATACGACCCAGCTGGGTTTGATCAAGCCCCGACTTGTGTCCAGGTAGCTCTACCCCACTCATGGCTCTCCTCTCCTGATCCACAGCCACCTCGATGCCACCTCTGCTGCCTCGGTGGCCAACTTGATGGCTCCTACTGGCTCCTGTGATGCCCAGCATCTTGTAGACCCTAGAGGGACTGGCCTATGAACCCTCTGCATCCCACCTCGATGGACTCACACCTTGCTCGCCACCCATTGCTTCGGCATTCCTCCACCAGCTCGGTGTACTTGGCCCTCTTCCTCTCACTGGCCTCCTCAATGCAGTCCTCCCAAGGCACAATGAGTTCCAAGAGGATGACCTGCTCGGAGGCCTCAGAGATCAGCACTATGTCTGGCCTTAGCGATGTTATGGTGACAGTTTCTGGGAACTTCAGCTGCCTCCCCAGATCAACTTTCACCCCCCAGTCTTGTGCCATTGCTAACAGGCCAGAGGAGGTGGTCCGGGCAGCTGCTGTAGGCTTCTTCCCAACTCTGGCGGAAGTGATGGTGTTTTTCACTGGGCGGAAGCACTTGCAGTGGCTGATACCACTGCAGATGGTATCCACTATGGCCTTCAGGACTTGGTCATGGCACCAGCGGTAGCGCCCTTCACCCAGGGCTTTCGAACAGCAGCTGAGGATGTGCTCTAGAATTAATTAAAAAAAATAAAAATAAAAAAAGACTTAATTGTAATTTTTAATTATTGTTGGCACCAATACAGGGAACAGGAGCATGCCAATCATTGCATGTTTTCAGGGAATATGTTTGCACCAACCTTTTTAAGCACAAATATGTAATAAATAAATAAATAAATAAAATAACTTGATACTAATATTTAATTATTCTTGGCACCAATACATGGAACAGAAACATGACAGAAATTAGAAGTTTTCGGGAGGTATGTTTGGACCAACCTTTTTTCAGCACAAATATGTATTAAAATAAAATAAAATAGAAACAAGACAGATGGAAACAAGCTATAAAATAAAATAAAAAGGCTTAATACTAATATTTAATTATTCTTGGGACCAGCACAGGGAACAGGAACAAGCCAGAAATGATGTTTTCAGGGGATGTGTTTGCAACAACTTTTTTAGGCACAAAATGTTAAGGCGAATAAAATAAAAAGACTTAATACTAATATTTAATTATTCTGGGACCAATATAGGAACAGGCCAAAAATGAGAAGTGTATATGAGGTGTGTTTGGACCAATCTTTTTCAGCAAAATATGTAAAGATAAAATGAAATAAAATATAAGACTTAATACTAATATTTAATTATTCTTGGCACCAATACAGGGAACGGGAACATGTCAGAAATTACATTTTTTCAGGGGACATGTCTGCACCAACCTTTTGTAGGCACAAATTTGTACAAATAAAAAGACGGAATACAAATATTTTATCATTTTTTTGGACCAATACAGGGGACAGAAAGAGAGAAGTGAGTTTGGACCAACCTTTTTTCGGCACAAATATGAAAAAGAAGACTCAATAATAATATGTAACACAAACCCACAATAAAATCTAAGTTTATTTTTGATTTATATTTTTAAAGTGGCTCACACTCGTATTATAAGTTACAAGCGGAACCAGTGTGTTGTTGCACTCCGGCTGTATTTTCATGTAACACCTGGTAGCAGAAACCTGATTCTGTCCAGTAGCAGACATCGTGGTAAAGAGAGGGTTAAGGGAGAGTGAAGGCGTCTTATTTCAGCTCTGACATGACAATAATTTATCCGGAAGTTATATAAAGTGTAGTAGATATGATGCGGTTTATTTAAGCTCGGGCAAAGAGCTAACAGAGTTATATTTAGCTAACTAAGCTAACCAGCGGTTCCCACAGTGCGTCTGTTAAATCGGTCCTCGCCCTCTCAGCTGTCACATCACGGAGACGAAGTGGACGGACAGGAAACATGACGAGTTTTGCGAGCAAAGTGTTTTTTAAAGTCGACAGGGTGTGTCGCCACCTCCCCGTGGTCCTCAACACCTTCCTGGTCTTCTCCATCACCGGCGAGGTGAGCTACTTGGTGCTGGTCGAGGCTCCGCTGGAGGCGGACCAGAAGAAGACGGTGTGGTCCAGCTGGTGGAAGGCGGTCCACCTGCTGGCCCAGTACTTCATGCTGGGGAACATCTGCTGGAACTCCCTGCTGTTCCTCAGGACTAACCCCAGCATCAAGGGGGTGTTCCTGGGGGGAGAGGGCATGGGTCAGGGCTGGAGGTGAGGCAGGAGGCGTTATTGTAGATTAGGAAATATAATTTATATTATAGTGTGGGTTTGGTTTGGTGTGTGGATATACAGTACAGTATATGGCTTGTGTGTGAACATCCTTGTTCTTCTGGTCTGTTTTATATAGTTTGTGCCAGGCCACTTATTTCCAGCTAATTTAACGTGTTGTACTACAGCTTAAAATAATATTTTAGACAATAGTGGTCTTAAGAGCTGCAACGACTAATCAGTGAATCAAATATTGGATCAACAGAGATGAATCAAACACTATTTTGGTAATCATTTTAGTAATTTTTCAAGCAGTAATGTGACATTTCCAGGTTTCAAATGTAGGATTTGATGCTTTCCTTGACCCTATATTGTAGTAAATGTAATATTTTGGGTTTGTAAATGTTGGTTGGACAGAACAAGACATTTGAAGGAGTCACTTTAGGCTCTTGCCTTTTTTTTAACAGGCTTTTCTCACAGTTTTTGCTAATATATTGTAGGTCAGTGGTCCTCAAATGGTGTGCCGTGGAATTTTGTGATAACTACACATTATTATTGCAATGTTAAACCATAAAAAAGTTATGATGATTGTTTAATTGACTGTATCAGTATGTTGTGTGCATCCATTTCCTGATAAAGAGGCAAACTCTAGCTAAAAAATGTAATTTAATTTAATTTGATTACAAAACAAAACTCCACGGGAACCTATTTGTCACCGTTTGCATGTGGGAATTATAAGTGTGTGACACATCTAAAGCCTTGATTGGCAGCCAGTGTGAGGGATGATGACATTTAAAAGGAGAAAACTTTGAGTGAGACAATGGATCGCTTTATTGTACAGGGCAAATTACAACAAAGCAGCAGCGAAGACGACCTGTCACTGAAAGAAAAGAGCACAAAGAACTCACAGTAGACAGTATCACGAAAGCTACCTGTCTTATTTTATCTTATTTTTATTGTCTTATGTTGTGATAAGAGTGATAACATGCTATAGAAGCTTTTGTGCAGAGGTATAAATACATTTGTGCCTTGAGATTTTGACTAGCCCAAAACATTTGAAAACCACTGTTGTAGAGTATAATCAACAGATTAATTGTGAACGATCATAATCCTTAGTTACAGACCCTTTTTTTCTATGTTTAATAGAAGAGAAAAGAGATTGTGTAACCCCAACAGTTGGACAGTCACCAATTATGAACACAGCAAAGACACTTGGTCCTCTGCTTTTTCAGATCTGTTAAGTCAGATTTACTTGTTCCCAGAACAGACTTTGTTGGATCCATTGGTGTGTGCCCCAACTGATGGTCACAGTCTTCATGTTTCAGTGAGATTAAAGAAACAAGCCAGTTTCATCCATAAAATGTTTGGGAGCATCTCCGGCTATAGATAACAGTATTTCCCCTCTTATCTTTCCACACAGGTTTTGCTATACATGCGAGACACACACCCCTCCTCGCTGCTCCCACTGCTACGACTGCAAAGTGTGTGTGCTGCGGCGGGATCACCACTGCGTCTTTTTTGGCCAGTGCGTGGGCTTCCGTAACTACCGCTACTTCCTGAGCTGCTTGTTATTTATGTGGTCGGGGCTGCTGTACGCCACTCTGATGAATGCAGAGGTCTTCATCGTCATACTGAAGGAAGGTGTGACCATGCACAGCGTCCTGCTGCTGCTCATACCCTGGATCATGCTGGTTTCAGGTAGGATCTGGTTTGTGCCATAGTTGTGGTTACTAAATCTGTACCAGCGTTACTCATGCTGTGATAGGCAGAATGTAATCTATATATTTTCCCACACTGACTTCGCTTTTAAAGCAGAGTGTGCTCCTACATAGAAACAAGGTATGTTGGAGGAAAGAAAAGTGATTATAAACTTATCAAATGCAGAAAATCTTTTTCTGGTTTCCTGGTCAAAAAGGGCCACAACTAATGATTCTTGTTATTAACACTTAATCTGATGATTCTTTTCTTGATTAATTAATTAGTTGTTTTGCCTATTAAGATAATGAGCTCTGGGTAGTGACGGAAAGAATGTGATTGCAGACACAAGCAGCTGAAATGACTTTGGAAAGCATTCCTGGTTGAAGAAGTCATTTTTGGCTCTGGGAAACTGTGATGGGCATTTTCCATATTTTATAGACATCCATCCATTTTCACCCACTTATCAGAGGCCTGGTCTCAGGGGCAGCAGGCCAAGCAAAGCACCCCAGACGTCCCTCTCCCCAGCAATGCTTTCCAGCTCCTCCTGGGGGACCCCAAGGCGTTCCCAGGCCAGATGAGATATGTAATCCCTCCAGCGTGTTCTGGGTCTGCCTCAGGGCCTCCTACCAGTGGGACGTGCCTGGAACACCTCTAACCGGAGGCGCCCAGGAGGCATCCTGATCAGATGCCCGAACCACCTCAACTGACCCCTTTCGACATGAAGGAGCAGCGGCTCTACTCCGAGCTCCCTCCGGATGTGCGAGCTCCTTGCTCCGCCCAGCCACTCGATGGAGGAAACTCATTTTGGCAGCTTATATTTGCGATCTCATTCTTTTGGTCACTACCCAGAGCTCATGACCATAGGTGAGGGTTGGGACGGAGATGGACCAGTAAATCTAAAGCTTTGCCTTCCGACACATGTCTTGCATCACTGCAGAGGCTGCACCAAACCGCCTGTCCATCTCACGCTCTATTCTACCCTCATTTGTGAACAAGACCCTGAGAACTCGAGGCAGTAACTCTCTCCCAACCTGGAGAGGGCAATCCATTAAAGTAGTCATCATAAATTAATGAATAATAATTGTAAAGCCTTATTTCACAGATCACAACTTTGCCTCTGCACAGCTGCTCAGCATACAACTCTATCCTTAGACCCTCAATTCAGGGGAAAATAATCTCTAGAATTTAAGTAAGAGCAATGGACAGACATGCAATAGATGTTGTGTGCTGCCTGCTTCATTAGTTTCTTGTCTGCTCTATTTTTATCTGCTAGAACTCACTAGAGAGAAATCTCCGGTTAGAACGTCCCATTAATCACCCACAGTGGTCTCCAGGGAAAGATGCATTAATAAATACATGTGGACGACATGTTAAGAACCAAAGTGTGGAAGATGGTGGAGGCAAACTTTATATTTTATGTCTTTGATTTTACTTACTCTCCCCACAGCTCTCTCTCTTTAACTTTTATAGCAGCGTGATGATGTATTTATGCTCTTATTTGTGTTGAGCTGAATCCCAGAAATGTAACCAAATCTATTACGCATACAAATGTAACCTGCTGTCCCTTCTCTCTCCAGGCCAGGTCTCAGCACGTGCCTTTGCCTTCGCCTTCATCGCCGACACATGCGTGGTGGGCTTCCTGCTGGTTTCCGCCTTCTTCTTCTTCCATCTCTTCCTGATGTTTCGGGGACAGACCACCAGGGAGTGGTACTCGACCCGCCGACCCTACAGCCTGGGGCTCCTGGGTAATCTGCGTCACTCCCTGGGCATTCGCTGGTACATCTGCTGGCTCTGCCCGCTCATCTCATCACCTCTGCCCGGAGACGGGATAACGTTCCAGGTCACAGGGTCACTGGAGCCCACCCGGTAACAGCTAAGAGTCTGAATGTTAACAGACTGTGTGTCTTTGCTTTAGTGGTGATGATTAATGTAATCAGGAGCAGCAGAAACAGGGAAGATCGCCTCAGTTCACAAAGAGGTAGCTTGTGATGGGAAGAAGTGTGTGGTTGTTTAAGGTGTCGCTGGGTATAAATGTTTACCAGTATCTTCTCTGTAGCCTTCACCTGTGCTGAGACAAAGAAATTATGAGTCTACTCTGAGAGACCTCGACCTTAAAGTAACGCTTATTGAGGCTGGCCTCAGGATATTAACACGGAAATTAGCAGAGTTCTTCTGGAATACTGAGCACTGAAAATCTATGTAAAACAGCACTGAAATGAGAATGTATTTTATTGATCCTGACAGAAATTATAATTTGAAGTCTTCATAAACAAGCAGTCGCAGCTACTGATCCAGACTCCTGGGTAGTCGCCCTCTAGGGTATACTACTTAAATGGGAATTTCTAGTAGAGTTTATTTTGCCTAAATCTGAACGTTTTACAAATTTGGCTGGCACTGTTCCTGAATAGTCCATAGGATTATGAATCTGCTGTTGTGTACTGGCTGCTAGCATCATGACATGCTTTTGCTCTCCACCTGTCTGCATCCACTCCTGAGCTCTAGCTGAGTTAACTACTGCTGCACTTGTTGCACCAAATGAGACACTGAGTGCGTTTACATGGACATAAATATGCCGTTTATGAGGCTTATCCCAGTTATGATCATAGTCAGGGTATGGTGCTTACAAGAGCACAGAGAATTTGGGTCATTCATATTCCCCATATACGTAAAGAATCATAATAACCTGGACGCTGATTATTGCAGTATATTTGCGCGGGCACTGGGTCGTTTACAAAACAAAAACAAACTGGCAATGGAAGATGAGAGCAACTGGAAATGTTTGATACTACATTGTAAATTTACCACTTCACTACTTATAAGCTACGGGTGGGACCCACAATACGATATTATCACGATACTTAGGTCACGATATGATATTATTGCGATGTGCTGAGTATTGCGATACAATATATTGTGATTTAAGTCCAGACGTTTGATTTAAACACCAATGGCGCATTTCTGATTTATTTCTCCGGTGCTTCCATCTTTGTTTTTTCCTGTTAGATGCCGCTGATTGAGACCAATGCTGACCTCAAAAAAAAAAAAAAAACACCAGCAACATCTTGTAGCCCGAAAAAGCAATTGATTTTATTATTCTAGCACCAAAATTTGTTTAAAAAAAAATATATATATACGTATAGGCGGCATGGTGGTGCATTGATTAGCATTGTTGCCTCACAGTAAGAGGGTTCCTGGTTCGAACCCAGGGTGGGGGAGCCCTTCCATGAGAGAGAGAGTTTGCATGTTCACCCTGTGTCAGCGTGGGTTTTCTCCAGGTACTCCAGCTTCCTCCCACAGTCCAAAGACATGCAGGTTAATTGGTGACTCTAAATTGTCCGTAGGTGTGAATGTGAGCGTGAATGGTTGTCTGTCTCTATGTGTCAGCCCGGTGATAGTCTGGTGACCTGTCCAGGGTGTACTCCGCCTCTCACCCAGTGTCAGCTGGGATAGGCTCCAGCACCCGTAAGACCTCTAACACGATAAGCGGTCATGGAAAAATGAAATGAATGATAATAATGTGTATAATAAAAGATCAACACTAAGTTTCCGTGTATTGATAGAATATCGCCATGCAAAATATATGCTGCATGGATTTCTTTCCCCCACCCCTACCAACAGCACTGACCATCACTTTTTCTCTGTCTCAACCACACACTAACTTAAAGTAGCTAGTCACCTAATGTTACTCCTTAAAGCAGCTTAACACCGTCCTCCACACTGGTGCCAGCCCATAGCCATCATCACTAGGGCTGCACAGTGAATGAAAATATTATCAAAATTGCAATATGACCAAGTGCAATATCCAAATCCTAGGAGCTGCAATTTTTGATAAAGGTAAAATGTGTCACTACCATTAAAAATAAAGCAACATGTTGGTACAAAGATGCCTCGGACTACAAATCATACTCCAGACATCAGGGAACATTTCATTCAAAATGGCCATTTCTACTAATGTCGTGACTTATATCACAATCGCAATATGTGTCAAAATAAGTGCAGTATGATTTGTTTGTATATATTGTGCAGCCCTAGATATTACCACATCGTATAGGACAGGGGTTCAGTGGATGCCACCATTGTCTGTATTTCTGTTATGCCACTTGGTTGAAGCGACACCTGTGCAGGAAGTCGGCGCCTCTTCATAACTGGGATAAGGTGTTAACATGCAACAGCATCCTGATTTCTTTTGGAGAACTCCACGTAGCATATTCGGGTGTCTGAAAACAGGATGTGGTGTGTACATGCGCAAACACATAAAATGTATATGCTAAAAACACAACCATAAACGGGTTATTCATGTCCATGTAAACACGCTCAATGAGAATGCGAAGGGTTCAGCGTGTGTGTATGAAGACAACTGATAGAGACTGTACATGGTGTGATATCCAGTGTTCCATTTGCAGCCTAATGTGAAGTCATTTAGTGACTACAGCATTTTAAATCTACTTATGGACGTCATGTGAACAGTCTCTGCCCATATTTCACATCACATTGTCCACGTTTCAGTCAGTCAGGGAACACAGACCGACAGTGTAACAGCATGATGTGTACTGACTCACGCAGCAGCTGTGTCCCCACTCCCTACTACACTCTAACCGTACACAGTGTACACTGTAAATAACCTTCACAGCATCCTGTTTTTGCAGCGAGTACACAGGAAGTCACCACACATTGCTGTTTTATACAATATGTTTGATACAATACACTGACAGTGTTTTTCCAACAAAAAAAAAAATATATATATCTATTTCTTTGTTTCCTGAGGTGCTGCTGTAGCTGTTTGACTTGACTGTTTAGAGTATGTCGAACACACACATGCTCAAACCCTGCTTTGGTTTAGTCTGTAGTACAGATTGAGGACACAGCCAACATGTCTCACATGCCAACTGGACATCTATTACCTCAGTACAATCGTTTTGTTTCTCCTCTCTTTTGCACTTTTGCTTTTGTATTTTTTTTTTAATCCTCCGAGCCTTAAAACACAGTGCAACATTACAAGCATTTGTTTCGACAGGTGCTCTTATTTGACCGACACTAAATTTACATTACAGCCAAAAATATTGTTTGTAAATATTGTTAATTGTTTGCTGAATATATACAGTACGTCTGCCTCTTTCTTTTTTGTGCTGTTTCATATGAGTCGCACCATTTGATGTTCAGTTTTGCCATTTGACAGTGTTTGAATAAATTGTTTCAAGGGAAGTTCATGTCCGTTTAACATTTTTTCAATTTGATTGTTTTGTCTTTTGTACTTGTAGTTGTTTAAGTTCATAGATCAATTATAATAATCAGCTGTAAAAAAAGAAGGTTTAATTCTTCTTTAAATGTGATTTTGACTTGACTCGACTTGACTTATGGAACAACAGGGTTATTACCATTAATAGAAATCAATTTTAAAGCTGATTGGTATGACATGGGTTTAATATTTATGTATGATTTATAGAGTTCAGCAGTAAAGTTGTCACCCCTTGAAGATTTTTCCATAAAATTTAACATTTCTGTTTCAACAAAAAGATACAACCAAATCTACAAAACACTCTGTATGATAAAAAGCACCATGCCGTTTTCTCTGATTGTATCTTGCCTGCCCTGTTTAGAAGTTGGTGATGTTGACTGAACAATAAAAAGTAGGACAATAGTGATTGTGATGATTAGGATAAGAAAGAGGTCCATCACAACTGGCTGCCATTTAAAAACTGAAAATATATCATCACTTAGTTACATTGGTACAGTTTGTTTTATGGACAACCTGGATGCAAACACTTCTGATATGTTAATCTTGGGATTATTTTGGGTAAATATTACATTCATACTTGTGAGTGGAAAGGATGTACTTCCTCTTTCAATGTGTTCATAAATAACTTCAAGTCACTAAAATACATGGACAAATTGAAGGGTAACTCTAAAAATATTGCTCTTTGTGCTCCTTATTTATTTACCTGATTGTTTCCTTAAATGAATGAGTGAATAAATAAATAAATTAATTAATTAATTAATAAAACGTAGCTCTTCCGGGTCTGACGTCAAATGACGCTGTGGTAACCGCTGGTGTTCCTTCGGTTGTTACGAAGCGTATGGGTGCACCTGGCAACGCCTCCTTCCTGTGCAGGTAGGACTTCAATTAATTTCTTTAATTTAGGTTAAAGTGGTTTGGAGTTACTCGCCGGTAAGACATTTTTGTTGTCCATTTTATAGTGAATATCACTATAAATTGTTTGCAGTTTAAGCAGAATGCTTTTTTGGTTAACTTGGAATTTGGGAAACGTTTGTCTTGCTAGCTACATGTTAGCTAACAGTAACAGTAGCTAGCAAAGTCTGTGGAAACGTAAATGAAGGGTGTTAAAAATGACACGACCTATTTTTTTTTAATTACAGTAACTTACGCATATTTTACACTTCTAAACTTATGTGAAATGTTAGTATTTTAGCCAGTTAGCGAATTAATAATGAGATTAGCTCGTGTTACTTCACTTGTTTTAAATGTTAAGTTGACAATGTTAGCTGTGTTGAGCTAATGTTAGCTAACGTTACATTTGAAACAGCCTTGTTACTATAACTTGCTAATGAAATTGTGCTTATGGGCTAATGTTGAGTTATTCATGCCAGATTGGGTGACTTTAAAAGATGAAAGTATTTCAGCAGGGGCAGATAATGTTCACACATACTCAAGGTGACCTTTCCCCCCACTAACATGCTGTGATACAGTCATTATTATCCCCAAATCTGTCATTTTTTTCAAAATGTCACATGGATATTATGGTCTTCCTGCAAGTATTTCTGCTTTACACAGTGTTGTAAGAATTATTGTACAGTATACTAGCAGTGTTGGGAAAATGTGATAGGTTACAGATTACTATTACCCTGTTAAAAATAATGTGACTATTGTTACTACATGTGTTATTTCCTTTAAGTAGTGTAACTTTTAACATCTGATTACTTTTTTTATATGAGGAAAAAAAAAGAACATAAGGTCATCATGGGTGTTACAAGGTCAAATGACAATACATTTTTCAATTACATCCTGGCATACAGTGTCACATTTTTCTCAGCAGTATTCATACACAATCCATTTCTCCCATCCATCCATCCATTTTCGTAACCGCTTAGCCTCTTGAGGGTAGCGGGGAGCTGGAGCCTATTCCAGCTGACATTAGTCGAGAGGCAGGGTACACCCTGGACAGGTCGCCAGACTATTGCAGGGTCCATTTCTCCCAATATTTTGTATATTTTTCCATCTCAAGTCTTAGAATAAAATTAAGTCTTACCATACAGTATATTTCATTTATAATCCCCAGCCATGGGCCAATGTTGGAGGATCAACTTGCAACCATTTGCAAGTTATGGCTCTTCTGCTACTTACCAAAAGTATCTTTAATAAATATTGATCTTTGATTACTTCAAAATGGTAGTCATTTCATTTGATAACTTTTTGATTACTTTTAAACTGGGCGATAAAGCTGAAAAATGTCCAGAAACAGGCTATGCTAAAAGACGGTTTTCCTGCACAGTGAAAAGATGCAAAGCAACAGAATTAATATTTCATCTTGTGAAGGGCTGATTGCATGAGTAAAGTATACTCTCAATCAAAACATATAAAGTGCAAGAGCACCTGTGTGTGACTACTACCAAGACTCAGCAGCACTTCTACTCCTTTGTCTTCATGCAACAATTTTTTTTTCTCAACATATAAACTTCTGCCTAAAATAATTAATTCAGATGTAACCCTTTTGTAATATTGGAGATTCACACTGTCAATACTATCCAGTGGGCCCAGTCACAATGTGTCATTTTAAAGAAAAAAGGGTTGGAGAAAAGATATATCATTAAAGCTGTGTTGCTTATGTATGTTTTTTGCTGGACCTTTTGTCACACACAAGCACCAGGGAGGAGTAAGCCAGCAGAATGAACGCCACAGAGGAAAATCTGTAAGTGATGTTCACTAAACGAACCCTCAAAAACAAAACAAAAAATCTGTGGTTTAGTTACTTAGCAGCATATTTGATGATTCGCTGGTGTGTGTGTGTGTGTGTGTGTGTGTCTGTGTGTCTGTTTGTGTGTGTATAGGGTACTGAAGGAGATGTGTGAGGAAATAGCAGAGCTGAATTTCAGCCTAAACCAGCAGAAGGACCTGAATGCTAAGATGAGGCAATGGCTGGATGCCTCAGATGATGAAATGGCAATGCTGCGTTCAGACAATGCCATCCTCAGGAAACAAATGAAAGAGTAAGTAGTCACACATGATACTCTATATTCATCAGCAGAAGGGCCCCTCAACCATCTGATAACCACTCTTAACAGTGCAATCATCTTTAAGCGTATCAGTCATCTGTTTGATCTTCCTGCATGCTGTTGGCTTACCTCTAACACAGAATATGTTAAAGCATGTATTTTTTTTTTTTACTTAATTATTCAGTGTTTTTGGTATGTGCCTGCCCTGATTTCTGCTTCATTTAGTGCCTTTGAACCAGTGCTTTCAGGCTGTGGTCGGAAAACCTGTTTGTGTGTCTGCAGCCAGGAGAAGATCATCAGGGAAGCACAGCAGGTTGAAGCAGAGCCTTGCAGAGGTCTCCTGGCTGATGACCTGGAAGCAAAGAAATGCCTCGAAAAAAAGATTCAGGAATTGGTAACCAGACGTGTAACTGTGTTACAGTGTATAACTGGTGTTTTTTTTAAAGATATTTAGACTTATCATGTAAAAATGTTATGCTGTCTTTAAGACCACACTAAATCATGACATCAGACACACACAGCAGAATCCTTGATGAAATCTAGTCTTAAATTGCAGTGCTCAGCTCTATTTCAGGGTTGCTTCACAGGCAAAGCTTTACATTTGAATATTTTTGTAATCTTTCACGAACCTCTATATTGTCACCCTTGATTTCCTCATGATTTTTAGTGTAATTGTAATTGTGTCTTGTACTGTAGTCCAATCCAGGTAGTAGACATATGTATGCAGGCCCTCACTGCAGTGGCATCTCACTTGTAAACTCATGCATTAACACTTAAGTTTATGTCAGAGATTTTACTTTTAAGGCAACATTTGATAAGAAATGACAGACTTTCTCATCAAAATTGTATGTTTCAGATTTTTGTATTTTTCATTATGTATGTCACTGGAAAACATTGATTGCAAGTTTGTTGATTTCAGTCATAACATAGAGTAATGTCAGCAAGGGTTGGGTAAAGAACTTGGTACTTTTAAAGGTACCGACCGAATTATGTCGGTACCACAGAGTATAAATTCACTTTAAATCCATCAGTACCAATTTTTGGTACTTGAGACCGCATCTGAGTGAGAATGCTGGGTTTAGATAAGAGATGGAAGGGCTGTGAAGCGCCCCTAAGCCTGGAAGCCAGCCACGTAGCTCCAAGGCCAGCAACAGAGCTTTGCAGAGGCGCCGGATTCAGTGTCAGATAGGTAGCAGGAGCGCCCTGAAGTCTGGAAGCCGGGCACGGAGATCCACCGCCACTGTCAGCTTCCCAGCTAGCCAAAATACTGATCCTCTAGGATAGTTTTGGTGTCTGATCTGTTTTCTTTTTAGATTGTTTTTAGTTAAGCCGAGCATTTCTGCTAGTTGAGCACACATATACGTAGACCCACAGACAAAAAGAGAAGATTCACTCCATGCGTGATTAGAAAAATGCAGAGGAGCAGAATTGTGATTTTTGTCCAATACTTCACCCCTGCAGCTTGTCAAAAAATTACATTTTCATCATTATAGAGAAAGTAAACTACTTACTAAAGGTACCATTGGGTACCATTACCAAATTCTAGGCACTGGATTCTGTACTGGTGTCTGTTTAAATGTGAATATGTAATCCTGACATCATAAAGCCAACTATGTTATCAACCATATCAGACTTGTCCTGGGACTTATCAACATTCATCTACACTACCCCTATTTGTCAAACAGAGCAATATCATAGTGAGTGTATCTAAACATCATTGCAGTCACAGTTGGTAAAGTAAATCACATGTCAAATTTCCTTAGAACAGTTAAAACTCAACCAGTCATATGGGCTGATGGTTATCTTTTTAAATATCTCCAGGTGTCCCTTCATGTTGTGTTTATTGCAGGAGAAGGAATCCAACTCTTTGAAGGAACAGAATAAGCAGCTAACTGCAGAGGTATGTCTGTTACTTTTCAGTCAGCAACTTTAATCTGTCATGTACTACACTAAGAAGTGGTTTTGAAATTTCAACATATATTTAAATATCATTCTGACTTTTTCAGCTCAAGAGCCTTCAGCAGGAGAGGGACCGAGACAAGATCACCTTGAGAAAGTCCAAGGCTGCACTTCAAGCCCTCGAGGTAACACCATGGATTCAACTTGGAGAACCATTTTTCTCTCTCTACATTCATTATACAGTTAGTCACTATACATTGTGATTTGTCATGTTGTGTGTTTCTTCAGTGGGAAATGGCAGAGGCTGAGTTAGGGCTGCAGGTTAGGGATGAGGTTATTCATCAGGTAGGAACAGAGACGTCAGTAGCCACAGACCAAAAAGTCATAAATATTGATCTTTCTTTTTGGAGGTCACCATGAATATCCTGACAATTTTTTGTCTTTTATTATTTAAACATCACTTTTTTTCTTGTGTGTGTTTGTTACAGAGAGACTTGCAGTTAAAATACGCAAAGGAAACAGTAGAAGAGTGCTCCAACATCATAGAGGTAAAGATGTTCTCATTCAGAGAGGGTAGACAGAACAGTATTCACTCAGCTGCTGACCACGGTCAGATGAAGTCTTCATGCTATGAGATGTTGAAGTGTGTTTTGTTGTCTGGTCACGTTTCTGTACTCCAGGATCTCAGGCTGACCAACCGGGCGCTGAAAGAGCAGTTGGAGGACAGACTGGATGAGGCCTCACTGTAACCCTGACAGACAATATCCTCTTGCTTTGAATGAATATCATGACATACACTGAGCCATCTGTATGCCCCACACTACAGTGTGTGTCTGCTGTTTTTTTCCAGTGCTACTGAGAATGACCTGATGGGAGGAAAGGAAGGACCACTCAGTCCCCCTCTGTCCTTTGCACTGGAGATGAAGCTGCTGGCCTCATCAGCTGAAGTGAAAACCAGCATGTCAGACTCCACAGATCTCAGAAATGTATGACACCTCCCTCCTGTAAATAGACCTTAGACTGTAAAGAAGTGGATGTAGCCAGTGTGACGTCACCCATTGGTTTATAGATACCATTTTGAAGCCTTTAGTTTGACGAATTTGCCATCGCCAACTTGGTTTATTACAGACAGAACTGGGTTGTCTCATCACTTTTTGGATAACCTAACAGAACCGTAACCTGAAACGTTTTTTGACCCAATCTTTGCCTTCAAGATTAAACCTACAGGAGACCTCACACCTTACTGTAACTTTAAAGGGATAGTGCACCCAAAAATGAAAATGCAGCCATTATCTACTCACCCATATGCCGAGGGAGACTCAGGTGAAGTTTTAGAGTCCTCACAACACTTGCGGAGATCCCAGAGGAGAGGGGGTAGCAACACAATAATAACTAATAATAATACATTTTATTTCTCCACCTACAACTCCACCTAAGGGAGGCTTATGGCGCCCCAGATTCAAACGTCCACAAAATATCTCCATGCTGCTCATCTGTAGTGATCCAAGTGTCCTGAAGCCCCGACGTAAAAAGTTGTTTGGAAAAACGTCATTTGAACTCTGTTTTTAGCCTCATTGTAGGCTGTAGCTCTAACTGCCTCTCTCATGTGTGTGTGCTTGTGCGTGAGACCAGCAAAAGCATGTGAACACACATGAACGCGGTGCCCATGTCTCACAGTCTCGCGCAAGCGCGCACATGTGAGCCAACTGAGAGTAGATTTGTTTCAGTATCCTGTACTTCTACAAATGACCACTAGAGTGTGCCACTACAACACCCAGATTAACAGTCTGTCAGACAGCAGCTGTGTGACTGTATCTGTAGAGATGTGGAGCTCAGTGATGTCTGGTTCTGTGTTTACAGGAGGAGGCTGAGAAGCTGCGGAAACCTCAAAGTCTCACAGTAGAACGTCAGACCAGAAGGTACTTCAGTTTCTTGTGTGAAAGGTCAAACTAACAGCATTATTCTGCGTAGGAATACATTTTGTATTTCTTTCTCTTTACATTTGCTCATATATTATCGTCCCTCTGGTTTCTCTGTTGCCGAAGGTGTGCAGGTATCTTGGAAACAGCCCTCCAGACAGCAGAAGTATTTCTGCTGTCTGTCGTCGTTCTCACAGTTTTAGCCTTCGTAGCTTCAGGAAGCTGTTCAGGAAACTTTTTTCCCATCAACAAGTTGTGGAGTGGTGCACGCCTGATGTTACAGCCCTACTGCAGTGTGCATTATGGAGCATTACCTCCTGTTTGATCTGAATGCTCTTATAAACACATTACCTCCATTTTTCTGCCTGAATGTTTTTTGTTGTTGTTGCTTATGGTAGTTAAATATGTTTCTACCCAGCGGATCACAGGGCTGAATCAAAGCAGGAAAAAAAGGCCAATTTGATTTGAAACTGTCTGCTCTGAGAAGCTCCTCTGTTTAGATTTAATTATATCAGTAAGTCTGATTTAACAGGATTTGAATGTGTGAGCTGGAATATCAGATATCTATCAGCATGGCTTATTTATACCTTTAGTGAAATAATGTACAGAAATATTTTTATTTAAACTGAACAAAAAAAATCTTGCTCCATCCAGTTTTCCAACTGTTTCTCCTGCTAAAAAGACTAAGTTTGGGGGAAAAAACACTACATGTTTTTTAAAACTCAGGTTGCTGAATTGTGGACATCTTTTTTTTGTTTTGTTTTTTGGTTTTGTTTTTTAAGATTTCACTTACATAGGGTTTCTACACAGTATGGAAAAGTATAGAATTTGATTTTTAGTAATTTTTAGGTCTGGATGAGTGTTAAAAAAAGAAAAGAGACTATGAAAAAATATTTGTGTTTCTAGACTATTGCCCCTTTTCTGTTTTGTAAAATATAAAATTCAGTATATCTAAATTAATTGATCTACAAGCGGAGTATTTTCATGACGTTTGGAACAAGCAGCCGACACAGTCACAATTATAGGGACCATTTAAAGGAAAATAATATGACTGTAGGTAGAACTGGTTAGTTTACTTTCTCTCTGTGCAGATATGAACTTTTCTTGGTTTGATGTTAATTGATTTGTGTGAGCTACAGTACTTGGCTACAATATTCTGGCAATTATTTGGCAACACAAAAGCATACATAGAATCTAACATACCTATTAACAGTTGGGTTTTAAAACCATTTATTTACATAATAAACATCTAGCTATTTGTACTCTGATGTCAAATATGGTCTGAAACATCTATGGCAGCGTATGTTGCTCCAAAACTTGTATGTACCATTTGGCATTTATGGAGCCCTCGCAGATGTGAGAGTGGCACTAACACTCCCTCATACCATCACAGATGCTGGCTTTGAACTTTGCAGTGGTAACAATCTGGATGGTCCTTTTCCTCTTTAGCCCTGAAAACAAGACGTCCATGATTTCCAAAAACAATTTGAAATGTGAACTCCTCAGACCACAGCACACTTTTCCATTTTGTGTCAGTCCGTCTCAAATGAGCTGCGGCCCAGAGAAGTCTGCAGTGTCTCTGGATGTTGATATATGTCTTCCCTTTGACGATGCAGCGATCGATCTTTATCGATAATGGTTTTCCCAAGTGTTTCTGAGCCCATGTAGTAATACCCCTCATACAGTCCTGTCAGATTTTAATGCAGTGTTGTCTAAGGCACTGGTTCCCAACTGGTGGGTTGCGGGTCCATTCTGAATGGACCACAAGTGACTCGGGAACGTGTGCCATCCCCTGCTGTAGAATGAAGGAGTAACGGACGGCTATGTAACAGAGACAGCAAACTAGCTCAACGACATGGCCAAAAGCAAGTATGACACTAAATGTATTAAAATGTGTGGACCTTGAACTAATAACTGAGGAGAAATCTTGACGCTGTGGCAGGACCAGTTGGGGACTACTGCCATAGGAGGTCAAAGGTCACAGGTACTCACACTGTAAATGGTGAAATCCCTACAGTCCTTGCAGTTGTGCTTTGAGAAAGATTCTAAACTGTTAAGCTATTTTCCCGCACAGTTTTTCATGAAGTGATGAACCTTGCTTGTGAACAAATGAGCCATTTGAGGAAGCACTTTTCATACCCAATCATGATACTTTAATCTGTGAACAGTTAACCTGTTTACCTGTGGGGTGTTTAAAACAGGTGTTTTTTGAGCATCCCACAACTTTCCTCAGTCTTTTCTTGCCACTCTACAGACTTTTTTTGGAACGTGTGTAGGCATCAAATTCAGAATGAGCGCATATTTACCAAAGACAACCATTAAATGTCTCGTCTTTGTGCTGCATTCAATTGAATATAGGTCGAAAGGTTTAACAGATCATTGCATTCTGTTTTTATTTAGGCTTTTATTTTATACACTGTCAACTTTTTTTGAAATTGGGGTTGTACCTATTGTTAAGGGAGTATTGTATTGTCAAGAAAGACCTAAATAAAGTGAACCTGTCCTTTCACAAAGAGATGAGTTCTTCTCTTCTCTCAGTGAGACCATTAATTACCTTTGGAAACCCACCAAAAGATCAGCCCGTCACTGTTATCATCAGGTGAGTCCCCCAGATTCACTTCAACATTATAAATGTTTCTAATTACTCGTCACATTTTAGATTACATGCAGTAAACGTGTATGTGTGCTCCCATGCCTCCCAGTCTCCACAGTCGCCCCTCCCAGCTCAAGGCGCTCCCTGGTGGTCTCGTCTGTGACTTGAGGAAAACACCCCCTCCCTCTCACACAGAGCATCATAAAGTGGGGGATCAGATGTAGGGCAGGAGGGACAGGGGGATGCTCTGAATCGAGAGATGATTGTATGTAGGAGCTGGCCGATGATTCATTGTGTGTTTGCTGGAGTTTGAGCCGGTGGATGCGGATGCTGCGTCGGTGCTGAGATGCTGATGATGGCAGGCCGGACCTCTCCAACCTCCTCCCGCACCGTGGATGGATCCAGAAGCTAAAAACAGCTGAAAGAGGATAAATTTGGGAAGATAGAGCAACAGGCCAGTTGGATCCGGTCTGCAAACAGAGGGGAGACGGGACCGGCTGTGTGAGAAGGAGGTGGAGGAGGAGGCGACATGTTCTGAGCGGAGAGCCGGCGAGCGGCGGCGGCTGGCGGGATGAAGGCGCCGAGGAGACCGAGGCAGACGCGGCTCCTCCCCCGGTTCTGCGTTTGTGGAGTCGGTCTGCTCGCAGCCGCCTGGATCTTCAACTTCAGTGATGTTGCAGGTGCTTCTCAAGGAAAAATTACATAAAGCTGTCCTGATTTTTTTATCTGCTGTTACACATGTTCTTTATAACCATGTAAAGCACATTATTAAAGTATTATGCATAACATTAAAGGCTAATTAAAACCTTAAAGAGTGTTTTAGCAGCACAGTAGACAAAATAAATACCATAGTTAGGTAAGTTTACTGTATTTGACAGCCACTCACATATCCAGTATCATAACTCCTGTATATTTTATCAGTGTATGCATTTATATATCAACCCCTCTCCTCAGGCTCACATGGACCCACTATGGATCACAGCATCTCCTTTTCCAAGAGAGGGCTCATCCAGCAAGCTGACAACCAGACTGACAGCAGGAGATCTGGTGAGGCATTTACCATGTGTGTTTATATACAAAGAAGAGAATTTCTTCTAACCTAACTTAAAAAATGTAAAATATACAGTCACTTTTGAGGCTGATGAAGTGAAATGAGAAGCTTTTCAATCATTAACAGGCCCAGATTTAAGCTCAGGTTTTGATATTCATGCCATAGTGAATGTGATATCACTGTGATGATCTTGGTAACGCCAGTGTGTGTGTGTGTGTGTGTCGAGGCAGCACGTCTCATCTCTATTAATGTGTTTAATCCAAGTCTATCTCCTCCGTGCATCGATCTACCTCTCCACTCCAGCTCATCCTTCATTTCTTCAAACTCTGCTCATCTAGATGTTTAAACACAGTTAGGCCTTTGAGGGGACCCGGTTGCTAGGAAACTGAATGCTGAAATTGTGGTTGGATGGCGTGTGTGCATCTGGAGCTGTTCAAAGTGCCTGCCCTGTCGTGGTGACCTGCTGATTAGTGGCCTCTCATCAGCAGTTCTCTCATCACTTGTGTGTGTGCTCGGGTGTATTTGGCTGTTTTCGAGAGACGAAGAAAAATAGTGACATTGTCTTATGGTCTGGTGTGAGATGAAGAGATTTTGGAGCCAATTACAGAGAATACACTGATCTGCATATATCAGACTAGAGAAACTGCCTTGGGAAAATACAGTACAGATTAACTTCAAGGCCTCGAAGACATTTTCTTCAGATTACCATATTGCTGTTTTCAAGAGCACGTCTTGTTCTTGGTGATAAAAATATACTGTTTGATCTGTATCCAAACAAAATCATGTGACAGGTTGTCATAATATCCCACCATATCTGTGTCTCCATCCCTGCACGTGATGCATGTTAGCCTCTTGCTGCACAATGTCGCCTCTGTGCAGGATCTCATGCACTTCAGTCACACTTGTTTCACTCACATGTTTTGGTACCTTCATCTTCAGTGGAGGTTTTATAAATCCAGACTCCTCTATAAATCAGAAAGTCACTTGGGAGGCGACACTCCAGATTATTGTTGTTCTGAACTGCCTCGCAATAATAAAAGCTTTGTTTATGGCGCAGTGAGCCGGGGCATTTGTTTGAGCTTATGTGCAAGACTGTGCAGTCTGGCAAACACAGCCTCACATTTGGACAGAGGGTGGTTGTGATGCATCGTCTTAACTCAGCCAAATTAGATGCCTCTGAAGGTTGACTTTATAGGAATTGCTCGAGTTGCAGAAGAAAGTCAATATGAATGAACCTGGGTGCAGATGGCATGAGGGACAGTGTGGCACACAGTGTTACAGGATGAGCTATTTCAACGAAACTGGACGAGAAACTGAATGCAACTGAACCTGTGTAGTCACATGACCTCAAGCTGTCCCGGCACTTGTTGCTAGGGGATACAACCGGACACACATAACACCAAGTCATACACACATATCGCACATGTACACACAAGTGACTGGAGGTGCCGGGCTGAGCTGCAAATTACTGTCATTTTCATGGCTGATTAATGTGCTGATTATTTTTCTTCATTAATCAATAGAAAAAAATGCCAGCTATAATCTCCTGAGGAAATAAGAGCCCGAGGCGGTGTCATCTAATTACTTGCTTTATCTAACTGACACTCCCAAACTCAGAGATACTCAGTGTAAAATCACAGAAGACAAAGTACAGCAAAGTCACCTTTAGTTTCTTGGGGAAAAAATTGTGCCTGTCAAGTGTTTAC